ATCATATTTTTAAAAATATTCTCTCTATTATTAAAAATATCATTGATACCCTCTCTAATTTATATTTAAACATCATTGACATCCTCCGTCATTAAACCACCATTTATAATAAAAATAAATTATCTAAAATACAAAAATTGTCCTTACATAAACCTCAAACAATATTTCTAAATAAAATTTGATTAAAATTTAAACTGATTAAAATTTATAATTTTGTACTTATTAAATTTGAGCCTATTAAAAGTTTTTTTAGCATTAAAATTCGCGTCAATTTGAGCTCTACTTGGGATGTTAATCCTGATTAAAATTCACTTCGAATCGATAAAAATTTATATATTTTTATTTATTAAAATTCAATTCAAGTTGATTATTTTTTTTCATATTAAAATTTGATTCGATTAGAATTTATATTTTTTTATGTATCAAAATTCAGGTCGATTAAAATCTAAGATTTTATTAAAATTTGATTTGAGCCTTGAATAAAATTTTAATAAACTCAAATTTTAATATCTAAAATTATATAATTTTAAATCTGCACAAATTTTAATACATAAAAAATAAATTTTAATTAACTTGAATTGAATTTTAATCGGTCCAAATTTCAATACGTAAAAAAATTTAAAAAATAGAAAGGGTCTCATTAAAAATATGTTTATCTAAAGGGAATGTGGATGGAGTTTTTTCTAAAATATATCATAGACAATTTAGTAAAATTGTATTTTAATTAACACTTTTAATCTGAGAGTGTCAGTGGAGATTCAAAAAATAGAGAGGATGTCCTTAAAGATATGATAAACTATGAGAGATGTGATTAAAATTTTCCTTTGTTTTTATGTATTTGATACACCATATTCATCATACTTTTAAATAACAACTACTTAACAAAATTTCATTTTTGATTATGAATTTTCCTTAATCAATTATAATTTTATTTTTCAAAAATACAATTTATCATTAAAAATAATAATTTTAAAAATGGTACTAATTTTTTTTCTAATACCACAATTTATCTATTTATTTGAACAGAATATTGCATATTTTACCCCCTCTCAAACAAAAAAATATTGAGTGTAATCGTTATAATAGGTTAACAGTGTCACGTAGTGTAATTGTCCACTAATAAATAAACAAATCAACAAATAAACCCCATTAAAACTTATAATCACTCAACCATATAATACATAATTACTTTCATTTTATTTATTTTATGTTAATATTACCGTGATATAAAGATTACGCTCGATATTTATTCCTTTTAAAGGCTCCTGAAAGTAATAATAGTGATGTAGGCAATGACCCACTGTACAGTTACGGTCTCGGGCCTCTTATCCCTAACTTCTGTACGATATCATGGTAGAATGATGATGTGTACATTTGTTTAAAGGATAAAATTTGTGACGTTTACTGCTGACTTGGGTTTGACCTTTTTATCTTGTTACGCATTACTCTTTTTTGTGGCTGTGTTTGGTTTGCTTGATAAAAGAGAATAAGGCAAGTTTGATCTAGATTAGATAAAGTTTTAATGAATAAAGTTTTAATGGATTAGATAAACTGAATAAAGTTTTAATGGATTAGATTAGATAAACTGAATAAAGTTTTAATGGCTTATGCCCTCTGACCTAGATTAGATAAATAAAACCCATTAATCCTCCACCTGAATAAAGTCATTGACGAAATAACATGTTATTTGACATTGTTACCCTCAACAGTGAGAAGTAGGTATTCTCTCTCTTTGCGACATTGTATTTTCTACATTTTTGTTTATGTGTGACAATGGAAGACATACTGAATCTTTTATTTTTTTTCTTTTCAATTACAATAACTCTTAATCTTTGTTCACCGTCTCCCCCTTATCTCTCTCTCGTTCTAAAAACTTTCATCTCTCTGTTTCTTTCTCTCTTTTCGAGAAATTGGGTTTTTTGTTACCGACAATTGTGTGTTCATAATAAATTTAAAATTTTTTCTTATTTTTCGATCTTGTGTAATTAAACAAACGAAAAAAATATTTTATTAATAAATTGATTATACTCGATATTTTATACTACATTATAATCTTTCTTCTGAATAAGTATTACTTAATTTATGCCATTCATTATTTAATTATATAATTTTTTTCAAATAACTACTCATCCAAACCACTTTTCCAAACTTGACATAGAATTAGACTACATTTTTCATATCAAAGGTGCAATTGTCACTTTATGGTCATTTATTTTGACATGTGAATGGGACCATAGTTCACATTTTTTTTTTATCCAAAACAAAGATCGGATTGGACCATTTCTTGATTTGTGTGTGTTATCTTTTATGTAGGGATCATGTTAATCTTCTATGTATCATTCCAATTTTATCGAATTGGATTATGTGTGTTGGATCCAAAAAAAAGTCACCTTACTCTGCATTGGGTTGGATGAGATTGAGTTCAAAATTCAATACAACCCAATCCGGTGATGGTTATCCAAACACTCTCATGTGCTTTAGTCATTACACACCTTCCTTATCCCTGGCCTGATTTAGCAATTAATATATATCCACAAATAATGTTGATTTATAACAATGAGCTTTAAATTCTTATCTCATTGTTTACTTCAATATATATCACGTCAATATTTAAGAAATTGTATTAGGTGCGAGAGCAATAACCAGAGTGAAAAATAGGAACATGCAATTTTTACTTAAATCAATAGTTTTGTAAGTCATTAGAACAACAATGTTCGAAAGGAAATCTTAAAGTGAAAACGAAAAAATAAAAAATATTATAGACATTTTTTGGGTCGACACACAATCTCAACATATCTTTTTATTAATAGGATGATAATACATATGCATATGCATCAAACTAGATGTAGAAGATTTGAATAGATTTTCCTTTGCAAATGTTTAAATCCTAAATCTACTTATATACTAAAGATTAAGTTTTAAAATATTAATTTTTTGCTATTAAATTTGTTTATGCTATTATTTAGAAAAATCAAAACCACCACTCATCTACAATGTTTTGAACAACCAAGTGATGAGGCGAGCGGGATGAAGAGTAAGAAAGAAATTATAAATCAAGTACATCCCAATTACATATATTTTTATGTATTTGATACATAATATTCATCATACTTTTAAGTTACAACTACTCAAAAAAAATTTATTATCAATTTTGAATTTTCCTTAATCAATTATAAGTTTATTTTTTAAAAATATAATTTTATCATTAATTTTTTTTAATACACACACTTCCTGCCCCTCTTAAACAAGAAAATATTCATTATAACGATGACATCATGTCATCGTCTAATTAAAAGACAATAAATAGATAAAATGGATCCTACTAAACCTATTTGTTACCCATTAATGTGGTGGTTGATAATCATGAAAATAGTGAAATTTATTTTATTTATTTTTAAATTGTAAATTAAATAAAAATACCTAATAATATGGTTTCACATTTGCCATGAATATTTTCTCCGTTTAAACGCCTGTGGCAGTTTAGCACTGACGTAGGCAATGACCCACTGGACAGTAACGGTCTCGGGCCTCTTACCCCTAACTTCTGTATGATATCACGGTGGAATGATGATCTGTACATTTGTTTAATGGATAAATTTTCTGACGTGTACTGTTGACTGGATTCGGCCGACTGATTTTGTTACCGACTTAGACTACGGTATCGTCCATACCATACTTTTAAAATTTATTATTTTTATAAGAATATTTTATAATTTTAATAATTTTTTTTACAATAAAAATACTTTTACGGTAATTATTTGTACCATTTTTCTTCACTATCACAATAATGATAAAAATAGAGACAATATTGATAAAAATTAAAAAAAAAATAATTAATATACTAAATTTTTATTTCCAGCACCATAGACAACTCCTTTTGTTACCCATAAAACCTTTTTAGTATGTTTTAGCTATCACATTCAGATACCTTCCTTATTCCTTGCCTGATTTAAAAATTAAAATATATATTTATATAATAAAATATAAATATAATTGATCTTGAATCTTTAAGTTTGTCCGTCACAAGTTGAGATTTATTCAATTTAATGAATCAAAATTATTCCCAAATTTTTTTTCTCAAACTTGAACACTTCATTTAGCCCATATTTTTTTACACTAATCAAGGTCGTATTAAGTCTTGTCTCTCCTATCTAGCTTTATAAATTTTATTTCCCACATTTTTTTTTGCCAATTTCTATCACATTTTTAATTTATATTATAAGTTGAATCATGTAATTTATGATTAATTTATGCCTAAATATAATATTTATTTTAGGCATTGTTCATATATTATAATGTATACATATTAATATTTTTTTATATTATATATTTTGAGAAAAATTTGTTAATTTTTTTTTAAATAATGGGTACAAAGTAATTTCAAACCATGTAATAAAGAAAGGGAATGAAAAAAATTATTATTTGATATAACAAGATCGTTTTTTTTAAGTCACTACTAGTGTTGTTACATACTTAAAATTTCTTTATCATTTCATTAAGCGAAAAGCAACATAAATGTTAATGGGTTCCTTCATTTTGATAAAAATGCTATATAGAGTTGTGGGCACTAGGGCCAGTAAAGGATCCGTGACCTATGGACGGACAGCCCATGGCCTAATGGGTACATGACCCGTTATGATGACGGTAGCCCGTTAGCCAGTGATAGGGCCTAGCTGGATTTTTTAGGACTGGGTAGTCAGAAAATTCCATTTATGGATATATCCATTTTTTTAAACTTATATCTGGAACTAATTTAAATGAAAAAAACTAAAAATAAATACAAATTATTAATAATAAAACTTGCTTGTTTGCTATAAGACACGGATATGCAATTGGTTCGGCGTTTCCATTTCAAGATTACAGCTTATTATATAATTTACAGAATCATCCCTCATACTTCCGAAACTGAAAAACCCTGCCACTTAACTTTAATAAAAACCTGTAGTTACCCCCATGATTTGGGAAATCTTTAATAAACGTGTGAGATATCAAGTCCTCCCACAAAATGCTGACTCGATGTCCTCATTCCATCTAAGCCAGACGATTAACTTCCCCTTCGTCAAAACCTCTAAACTGTCTGCATCGCGTTAGGGTGTCCCGGAAGAGGTCTCTTCTTCCCGATCTCGCTTCAGATCTGTTTCTCAATTTCCTGATAAAATGTACGGATTCGAAGCGCTTACCTTCAACATTCATGGAGGTTATCTCGAGGCGATCGTGAGAGGCCACAGATCTGGATTGCTCACTGCCTCCGATTACAATAATTTATGCCAGTGCGAAACCCTAGACGATATCAAGATGCACCTCTCCGCCACCGAGTACGGTCCTCATCTCCAAAACGGTTAGTTCAGATCCACCTCAATATTGTTCTCAATTGTTTGGCTTTTTGCTTTTTGCTTTTTGCTTTTTTACTTCTTCTTTTCGCTTCGCAACCCGGGTTTGAGCTTTTTAGGAACTTAACAACGCAATTAACTTGTATGATCCATATACTTGTACATAATCCCAGTCGCAGGCGTCTAATTACGTCTTATTTATTGGATGCGATATGATTTTCTGGGCTTGTTTGTTTGGTAATTAGGCTTTGAACTGAAACATTTTCTAAATTACAAACAATTGCATTTTTCGTTTCAAGTTTTGAAATTAAAAGTTAATTTGAATGGCACTTTTTTTTTTTCCGATTAATTTGGGTTGTACCTGGTCCGGTGATGCATTTATAACAATGCTAGGTTTAGTCAAATAGATTGTTGAAAACTGCTTGATTGCTTGGGGCTACATATTGAATTCTCATAGTCCCTAAGGGAAATTTAATCCTGGTTTTTGTTTCTTTGAATCATGCTCGTGTTTTTACTACTATAATGAGTGAGGAACATTTTGCTTATATCTCATCAGATTTACATTAGAATACATACACACAAAAGGCATGTATTTGTATGCTTCATGCTTTCATCAGCAAGGTTGGCTTGGTCCCTCTTCTACACTTTAAGCTCATCTTCTAATTTATTTTACCGTAATTTGCTTGCAGAACCTTCACCATTGCATACAACTACGATTGTGGAGAAATGCACCCTTAAACTGGTTGAGGACTATAAGCACATGCTATGCCAAGCCACAGAGCCTTTATCAACATTCCTGGAGTATATAACGTATGTTGGAATTTATCTTCTTGAAATGGTGTTCCTGTACTATGTATTCTAACCAGTCTAGAGAGAGAGAGGGAGAGAGCTGTGGCTTTTTTCCACCTTATTCGAGGGGAAGTCAGAAGCCTAGGAATCCTTACTCCATGACAAGTGCTTTATTGGTACATGCCATAAGTTTCATAGAGGAGTTTTGACAAAAGTGAAATAATATATGGGTTTGATTTCTCTGCCAAAAAAAAATAAAAAATTAGTATGCCACATTAATTTGATATGATTTGGATACCTATTTGAAATATTATTTTTTAGCGTCCTTTTGGACATCAGTAACCAAGGACTTTAAAGGAATACCGCTTCTATGTATTTTTCTCTTTTTCCTTTATATTTTTACTAATTCATGGTTGGGTTCCTTATTCCACTTTTTTGATGTACCGTATATTTTTATTAATGCAAAGTTTATGTTTCCTATAAAAAAAAATGGATACCTATGTGAAGGAAACCTAGACTTTGTGTAGATTGGGACTTTTTGAAAATTGGAAGCTTTCCAAAATGTTATGATTCAGGAATGTTTTCGACTTTCAACATGACAATGTTCTTCGAATTTGTTTGCGTTGAAACTATAGTACACTCACTTATGACATGTATATTAAGATGTTACTATCTATACAATGTGTTTGTATCTGAAGTTTTTAAATTCCAACCTTTAAGGGGTTCAAATTGTCAACAAAGCCAAATTTGGTAACCATATTAAGGGACCGTGTGGAGATTGGTCTGGATGTGACTATTGTTGCTGCAATATGAATGAAATATGTAAACTTCAACCAATGTTGAGCTATGAATACAAAGTCGTTTACACATCAAACTACAAGCTTTTGTAATTGTTTTGGTTGGTTATATTCGTATTTATTTATTGGTATGTGCTTTTTGTCCTGTGGCCTAAGTGTATGCAAGGTTTATCGTAAATGTTGTTAATCCCTTGCTAGTTTCATTAGTGCGCACATTGGCAGAGGGTTGAACCAGTGTAATGTGCAACCTAGTTGGGAACGGGAAAAAAAGGAAAAGGTTCTCTAGAATTTACTGGAGACCTAATATTTGTGTTTATGTTGCAGATATGGACACATGATTGACAATGTTGTCTTAATTGTTACTGGAACCTTGCATGAGAGAGACGTTCAGGAATTGTTGGAAAAATGCCATCCTTTGGGCATGTTTGACAGGTATTTGTGTCCTTATTGCATGTTTTGGGTTCTGTTTTAACTGCTCTTAAGGCAATGCATTTTGGTTAATGGCTTATAAGGCAAGTTCCCCCAATTTGTTTCCTCAGTATTGCCACCTTGGCTGTCGCTCAAAATATGCGGGAGCTTTATAGACTGGTGCTTGTTGACACACCACTGGCTCCATATTTCTCTGAGTGCATCACATCTGAGGTACTGACTGCTAGACTCGTGTCATGTCATCTATGCTTTTTTCTATAAGAAATGAGAATTGCTTTTCTGACATTGTAAAAAAGTTTCTTGCAATCCTATTTTTTCTTACAGAAATTTCTTACATCTGGTGCTTTTCAATGAGGGATATAAATAATTAACGGGATGATAAACCTTAGACGTCATCTTTATAACATGATGGCCTGCTCATGCATAATGCTGGTTTTTACGCTGTAAATCCATTTGAAAAGGCAAAGAGATTTAGCCTCTTTTTATTCATTTTATTGACATCAAGGTCATAATTAGGGACCAATGATAGTCGTGCTAGATGAATTGTTTTTCGTTTATTGAAGGCATCAGTAGAATGGAATTGATTTTATGCTTTCCTGACCCTTTCTAGTAGTAAATTCTGTTTGTTTTCTTTGATACCTGATTCGTATTATCTTTAGGACTTGGATGACATGAACATAGAAATTATGAGGAATACCCTTTACAAGGCATATCTCGAGGATTTCTACAGGTTTTGTCAGGTAAGGGTTGATTGCCCAATTGGCATATTTTTCGTTCAATATGAGCTTGTGAATTATGGCCATCTCTCTATCACACACTATTTCTTTCCCTCCTCTCTAATGTAAATTTTTTAAACAGAAATTAGGTGGTGCCACTGCAGAGATTATGTCTGACCTTCTTGCCTTTGAGGCTGACAGAAGAGCTGTTAATATCACCATAAACAGGTTCTGTCATTTCATCTGTTTGTTCTCATATTTTATGGCATGTATTGATTTTTTTTTTGTTTTCTGATGTAATTTCTATATACAGCATTGGCACTGAGCTTACTCGAGATGATCGGAAGAAGTTGTACTCTAATTTTGGCTTACTGTAAGTCTTAACTCAATTTCTTCTTTTTCGACTTTTGGTGTTATGTGCCTTTTTGTAGCTTCTCTGAACAAATTTATATTTGTTCAAATAGTTATCCTTATGGCCATGAGGAACTTGCTGTCTGTGAGGATATAGATCAGGTATGTTTTGAGCTCTGTTTATTTTCCCATTCTTTTTTTGCATGGTAGTGTTCCGGTACTCACATTAAATATACTTTTATTCTAAGCCTTAATGATGGTTTATTGACCAAATCTGTGTGACCGTTGTCTCCACTTACTTCATAATCATAGAAGAAAAGAATTTTTAACCTTATTAGAATGTTGCAACGTTTTTGTGTTGTGAAACAGTTAAATGGGTGGGTTCTTCCTTCTCTCACATTATATTATTGATTGTGGTTTGACCGTAAAAAGCACCCCATGTTTTCATTGATTTTTTTGTCCTTGAAATTTTCCTATTGAATTTTGTTACGTGTTTTTTTACTTCTTTGTCTGTTTGCTGTTGTAGGTTCGTGGTGTGCTAGAAAAATACCCTCCTTATCAGGCCATATTTGCTAAGTTATCCTATGGAGAAAGCCAGATGCTTGACAAGGCATTCTACGAAGAGGAGGTGAAGAGGCTTTGCCTGGCATTTGAGCAACAGGTTTGTTTTTAGAGACCTGATTAGTTTGACTTTAGTTTTCCTAGCATCTGTGTAAGTATGCCCAAAAGCTTCCTTGCCAAAATTCGATACATTTTTTGGTTCATTTGCTAGTTGATTTCCTCTCTACGGTTTGGTTTATGACGGAGTGTCTGTTTTTATTTCTGAGCTTGCAGTTCCACTATGCCGTGTTCTTTGCATATATAAGGTTGAGGGAACAGGAGATCAGGAACCTTATGTGGATATCTGAATGTGTGGCTCAGAACCAGAAGTCAAGGGTGCATGACAGTGTTGTTTTCATATTTTAGTTGCTTCATAAGAAGTTGAATGGATTTTATGGTGCTATGAATTTTCGTGTAAATCTTGTCTCAATTTCAGTTTCTTGATCATTAGGAGTCGCCGGAATGGCCTTGCAAGTTTCTCGAATAAGTCTGTATCTGTATGTTTATTTCCTCATTTGGAGGGAGAGATCTTGTACTGAGATTCATCAATATATTGCGAGTGTTTCATTTATTTTTAAATGAAATACTACCGTTATTTGCTTCATTGGTAGATAAATTAACAAAAGAGGGGCTTGATGGTTCTGGTATTTGTGAATAACTTGTAGTTATTCAATCTAGTACAAAAATGATATCATTATAAGTAGGACCGATAATTGAGTCGAACTTATTTTTTTTTAAACAAATCTAAAAAATTATCTAAAGGTGGTTGGTTTAAGCCTGAATTGAGCTAAAAATAAGTCAAATTCGAATAGTTTGATTATTTTACATATAAACGAGTCAAATTCGAATAGTTTAATTATTTTATGTATAAAGAAGTTGAATTTTACGAATTCAAATTAAAATTTTTAAACTCATTTTTTTAAATAAACCTAAGAAATTAAGCTAGAGTTGAAATATATAAAAGTCAAGTTCGCGTTGCCTGATTTTATTATCAGTCCTAACTGTAAGTTTAGATTTCAAATATAATCGAGAGATTTCAATCATTCATCAGCAGCGGTTACGATTCAACAGTGTGTTGAACACGTGGATAATTGCCCAATCTTTTGATGGGACACTAGGTGGCTTGCTAGTAAAGAATGAACACGTGGATAATTACGGTAGTTAGAATGCACAAAATATAATTGAGAGAGGCATCGATTAGTTATGTCAAACAGGGCTGACTGTGCCACTCGGAGCCTAGCATTAAATAAGATTTGAAAGTTTATTAATGTGGGTCCTGAATGGTATTGAGAGAGCCATTAATGAATGTTCAGATTCTCGAAGAATGTAGAGAAAGTTATTTTTAGGAAGCACTAATGACTATTATACTGAGAGTGATTGTTTTCCCATTAGTAAACACTCAGATATAGGTGTCAAAGTGTTGATATGAAATATTTAATGACCGAAAGTTGAACCATGAATGCTCGGCGGTTCCCAAACAAGAGTCCACTCACTCGGAAAAACTAGTCTTAATAAGACTTGATGGGATGACACTCATTATACTGGGATATGAACGTAGACCGTTAAGTTCTAAAATGGGACTTATGGGCATCGCCATCATTACAAACCCAAGTAAAAATATATTTCAAAAAAATTGGACTTAGATACGCAATCTAAAAATATAGAATATACATAACTTTATAACTCATATACCGATTGACTTGAGCTTTCGGAGAAGATTAGTTAGATATATACCCAACTTCTTTTCTAATTTTTTGATCATTTCAAGATCATCATTCAACGGATCATTATCTCAACATATTATAATAAATCACCCGTGCATCTTTCTTTTTCAATTTTTTTCAAAACTTGTTCAATTTCAAGTTCTCTTGTCTTGAGTTGTCTTGGTCAGTCCGTCTGGTAAGTTTAGCATCCCTTAATCGGACCAGTTATTCGGACCTAGCGAGTTAAGAGCAATGGACCAATGTGCAAAACACCTGAACCTGAACGGGCTCTGATGTTCCTTTGGTGAGCTTCTTGAGTCTGTTATACTTTTTATCATTTTTTAATTAATAATAAATCAAAAAAACACTAGCGACTGTTCTATGCGAAACACAAAATAATTTGCACTATGTTCCTATTTTGATATTATTAGCTAAATATTTCTTAATGTATTAAATTGATGTTTTAAAATAATTTAAAAGTGAAGTAGTTAACTATTTATCCAAAAAATTTAAAATAATTACATAACCGCATGAAAGAATTCAATTGAAAAAGACTTTTATATTACTGCTAAAAAAATCAAAAAATAAGAAAAAATAGAATTTTAAAAAAATATTATTTAAATTTAATCTGATGACCTAATTTAATATAATTATTAAATCAATATTAAAACTCATAATTAATTTAATTATTATTCAAATTATGTTTGAAGAAAAAAACAATCTCTTTATTGCATATATATGTGGCCCGCTAAGCTTCAATCAGCTTAATCTAATTTCAGTTGGTTGTTAAATCAGGCTAGGAACAATCGCACGAGCCTCTCATATATATATTTCGTAGCGTTGATGTCTCCCACCGTTCTGTCACACCAAACTTGATCAATCAGTCTCTTCCCCGTTAAACCGGCGACGGTGTCGAAAATTCTCAACTCATGTTTGCGAGTTTTCTCTAACTGAATTTCTCTGTGAGCAAATCATTCCATTAGGTTGCTAGGTCTTCGTATTGTAGCAGTAATCATCGTCGGTTCGGAAGATGGTGGAGCCCCCACCGTCGACGGACCAGAGGTCCATAACCATAACGGATCTCAACATGGACGCGCTGGTTCACTGTGCAAGCTACCTGAACCTCCAAGACCTCTCCAATATGGCAATGTCCTGCACATACTTCAATAGAGTGGCCTACAGCGATTCAATCTGGCAAAGCTTGTTCAGGTTCCTCTATCTCTAGAGTCGCTCACAAATACTTCAATAGAATTTTCTTTTTACTAATTGTGTGTTCGATATTGAACAGGGAGCGGTGGCCGCAACGAGTACCTTCTAGCTTTTCACAGATATCAGGTGCCAGGAAAGCATATTTGGCTAGGCATACTGCTTTACAGCAGTTTAAGTTCGTCGATCCCCTAGTTGCTNAGGAAAGCATATTTGGCTAGGAATACTGCTTTACAGCAGTTTAAGTTCGTCGATCCCCTACTTGCCGACTATTATACGCACTCAAAGCCTTATGACCAGTTATTTTTGGACAAAAACGATATCATTTTTTCGCAGGTTTTCTAATTTACTCAATTACTCTCCTTTCTGTTTTTCTGGAATATATTTATTGCTTCATTTGGGATGTCTTCAAAGCAGATATGACAATGCATTGGTGTACATGGTCTTTGCAATTTAAGCTGAGAAAAGAGATTTTTTGTGTATATTACAAACGTTCACAGCCATTGGCTTTGTCTATCACCGTGCAGGGCCCATTGATACATATGATTAGGATTGGTGAGTTTCTCAATGGAAAAGATCCTCTTGTTACACTTAGTGATCATCGTGCTAGAATTACCTGTATGAGGTGAGCATTCTGCATCGATTCTTTTGTTCCATGAAAAACTGTGTGATTTGACAAGTTAATGGCTTATGTCATTCACAGCGTGCTGCCTGGGAGGATAGAATAAAAGAAAGAAACAAATTTTTACACAGTTGTGAATGTTCTAAAAGGAATATTTATGTAGTTGTGAAAGTGCTACAGGATTGATCACATAAAGCTTGTTTTCCTGCGATGGTTTCGGACTTCTACAAAAACTTTTCTTGATGTATTAATACTGTCATACATTGAGCATTTTAGATTTCTGCGTCACTTTGAGATGTGGAACTCTATTAAACTCTTGTCACCTTTCCTAGCTTGGGGAAGAAATTAAGAAGTGGATCTGATTAAAAACATGATTATAAAATGATGGTCCATAATTATATGAATATATGCCCAATTCTCCTTTTTGTTGTCACATGGAGAGCATGAATATGCATTTGTTAAACCATTGTTGGCCAATTCATTCACTTTACCTTCTAGATTTTTTATGGCATTGTTTTCTCATGATAATGGGTGTGAGGATGTTATATGCAGATTGTTCTCTCTCAGTGAAACATCTTTATTTCGAAGTGAGACACAAAGAAATGAGAATGTTTTGGTAACCTCAAGCTGTGACCATTCTATTCGTCTATGGTGGAACGTATCCTGGTGTTTTGTGGAAAAAAAATTGCTGAAGATTGAATCCTAGTTTTTTGGTCCCTAAATGATTTGTAGGAAAGAATATAAATTACTGTGGCACAAAAATACAAAAATTAGCGTATTTTGTTGTAATATTGGCACCTTTGTTGGTTTGTTAAAACATATGTTTTATTTTTAGTTCGTTATATCTTTTGCCACCCCCATTAAATTCATCTGTGCCATGCTGATCTGCAGGGATGTTGTCAGCGATGTTTCAGAGGCCATAGTGGCACGGTTTCCACCCTTTCGGATAAAGTATTTGGTAGTGGAGGTGTAGATGGTACTGTTCGCCTTTGGTCACTTGGCTCTAGCGGAAAGCATGGTAAACATGCTTTAAAGGCAACACTTTATGGGCATGAGAGACCTGTAGTATTGATGTCAGTTGCCGGGTACATACTTGTTCCTTTATGTGATTTATTACCATCAGCATCACAATCATTATGATTAGAATTACTTGTGTGTTTTCATTGCTGAAGAAGTGAGACACAGTTCATTTAGGCTCCATAATGTCGATGTCTTGATAGTTTGTGCTTCCTGTAGTTTTTTACCTGTAGATGTCATCATTTATATTCACTGACTTAATTTTCAAAATTAAAGGAGGATGAATTCAAATTTATCCCATAGTTCCTTGTCTTTGCTTGCCATGTTGCTGCATAACAGTATACTTTGGATACAACTTGTATTTAACACAATCAAGTGTATGGTTAACATCTTATGAGAGTATATTTTGAAGCATGAACCAAGGGTGGGTACAGAAGCATGTTTTGGAGAAATTGTCAGCATCTAAAATGTTTTGTTTCGCTGTTGTTAAAAAGTTATTGGCAGAATGTCTTTTGTGCCAGGGATGTACTTGAAACATATAGGCTATGTTTGGTTAGTATCTCGGGAACAATTTTTTGTTCTTAAAATTTCAAAAACTCCCAAAACCTGTTTGTTTAGTATTTTTGTTCTCTAAATTTTGGGAAAAAATGAGATTTGAGTCAAAGAAACAGAAAATAAGTGTAGTTTGTTTTCAAAGTTTTTTTAAAAAATTTTGGAAACAAGAAGAACAATATATATATATATATATATATATATACATGTATATATAAATACGTATAAATATATAGGTATATATATATATGTATATATGTATATTTATATATATATATTTTAAAGTTTGGTTTATTGAATTTTTTTTTTATGAATTTGTCAATCTAAAAATAATTTTTTTATTAATGTTTGAATTATTGTTCAAATATATATTTAGGCTGTCCAAACAGGTTTTACTATTTTTTGTATTGTAAAATTATTTTTGAAATCATCTAACCAAACAAGTTTTTTATCTCAAAAAATATCAAAACCACTTTCTTAAAACTCTTCTTAAAAACTGTTTTCGGATACTATTTTTTGAAACGCAAACCAAACAAGCCCATAATTTCTGATAGGAGTAGTATCTAAATATTTATATACAGAATGTTAGCACACAATAATGGGTTTCTGACATTGGGCAAGAAAATTAGACTAATTCGTAATATACATTTGCTTGAACATTTTTTTATGCCTTTGGCACTTATATGATGGAGCCGGAGCCAAAACATGCATTACTTATTGTTAAACGGTCCCATACCTAGGCTGTTGGCCGTTGACCATATTGATGCATAATCTGTCTTATCTTGTTCCAGGCACAAAACATCACTTTTAGTGAGCATATCAAAAGACTCTAAGGTACTGTCATCCTTCTATTGCTAGTGTTGCTTTCTACTTGTCATATAAATCTCAAAATTTTTATGGCATTTTGAATTGTTTGTGTAGTGGTACTTGTGAGTACCAGGAAGAAGTTTGGGGAAGGATACATTGAATAAAGTAGTGACTTCTATTAGGTTCTGTGGTAAAAATTTCCACCTATTCTATTTTAATAGTTATTTGGTGCAGACCTTGTGTTGCTAAGTCTCTCAAATGCCCACCTTGGTTCGCACCGCAGGTCTCTTGCATGTGAGATATATGTGTATATTTGAACTTGTTGCTGTCAATGGTTAAATTGGCACCTGTGATGAAGTTAGATAAGCTGTTGCACTGGAAACTTTTGATGATTATACAAGTTCCATTTTGTCATGCCATCTTACAACTCATTGTTGCTTTGCAGTGAATAACGCCCAGTTTAGTCCCCATTAATGGTGGTCTGGGAAGGGTAGATGGGGAACATACCTTACCTTTAACGTTATGCATAGAGTGGCTGACCTTAGGTTCGAACCTACAACCTTAATTTTAACAGGATGATTTTTAACCATGGAATCAGTGGCCCCACCTAAATTGCTATACTCTGTCCTTTTTTGGCTCCTGATCTTGGAGAGAGTTCATCGGAAGAGGAATGAATTCTTGATCATCTATTTATTTGTAGTTCAAAATGTAGTTTTTCTCCTTTTTTCTTGGGAGGGGCTAGGGCGGTTGGGGAGCTGCGAAATATGCAGCCCCATGTACTGCAATGTATTCTTCACCTGGGAATTCATAGAAAATATGATCAGGCACTCATTGCTTTGTCCAAGGAAGTAGAAATTAGGCAACAAACACTTGCCTTTTGGAGATCTTTGCAGTGCAAGTTCATTTCCCCCACGGTTTTGAATTTATATGAACATTTGCTCAAGCTTTTCTTTGGCTGAGGAGGTGAAATGATGAAGTTGTACTTGTGTTTGATCTTATTCTGAAAATTTTTATTTTTCATTTGGTATAGTCTTTTTGATAGAAAGATTTTGAACTTCTTTGGAAGATAATATTAACTGTAGGTTTTTTATTGTCGTTGCAACCAAATGAACAAAGCAAACCATTGTGATTGATTCTAGGGCCATGGATGTGATTGGGCTTTGTAGTTTGTTTTTAACTAATGTTTGTCACTAGCTGGGGTGGAGTCAGGATTTCGCATTAGATGTGGCAAACTATGGCCGAAAAAAATTTCACCGGTTTATACAAAAACGTTTCTGGGCATGAAAATTTTTTTTAGGATTCAACATTAATTACTATCAAAATAGTAAAACCAGTTTCCATTTAACATTTTAACTTGAACAAAATATGAACAAAAAACCATAAAATAACCTATGTTTAGTACATTTCAACTCAATCACATATTAAAATAAACTACAATGTTATTTCAAATGTCAAAATTTGTCTATAATGAATTGTTGATAAACTAAATTTTTAGTAGTTTTCTTCAATGTACAAAATCACATTATCCATGACAAAATTATTATTCATTTTAGGTTGAGAAATCTAGTTGAAATCATTATTTGCTTTGTTGATTTACTCAATTTAGAAACAAAAATGTTGAATTTTTTTGGAGGGGGACAATGGGCCACTAACTTACCAAAAATTGAAATAAAAAACTTGGACCATTGTAAACATTTCGAAAAATCAAGGGGGGGAAATGTATTAAAATAATCAAAACTATCACCCCTTAATAATACATAAATAGAGCGAGTCAAAAAAATTTTTTTTGGGGGGTGGGGGGAGTGCCCATCCTTCTCCCTGATATGTGATCTAATGATATTGGTAAAGTTCTTATAGGGAGAGGTGATGTATAGTGCCGGGACTTTCTGTGCTTATCTGGCTTTGTGATATTTTGAGTTCAATTGAATTTCAATTTTGTTTGAATGAGAGGATAGGGTGGTAATGGTGGCAACATGTGAGCTTAGTGTAGTTGATGGTTATGAATGCCGTATTGTAGGTTGTGATGGCGTAATGGTGTGGTCATCAAGCAGTGGTAACTATAAGAGTTTGGTGATGTTGGTCATGGTGCTTGAGAAGAACTGAGAATGGAAGTGTTGGTGTTGAAAGTGGCAGTGGTTGTGGAGAGTTTCGAAAGGTGGTAATGTGGTAATGTTCTGGTGATGCTGGTGGTGGAGGTGGGAGTGAAATGTTCTGATGAAAAGATAAACAAGAAAAATTAAAACTAAAAAAGGAAAAAGAAGTGAGATGAGAGGGTTGATTCGTTTGTGCGCTTTCTTTTATGTGCAGAAGGGAGCAATTATATGTGATTAAGTTATGGGTATATCATAAAAGAAATAATCAAATAGAAGATTAAGACTAGTATATGAAATATTGTTGAGATACCCAATTTGTACACTCATTGAGGGCTTTTCGTTGACCCGTGTTCAGTGTCATGGGCTACCAATGAAGAAGGGAGGGCAAACACATATTTAAAATTTCCCTTAGTTTCTAATCATGGAAAATCAATTATGTTCTGTTAAACTGATCATTAAATGCACAATTTGTTGTTTCCCAGAAGAAATATTTTTTGTACCTCCAAGAATTGTGACTGGTTCTTCATCTAACAATTTCAGTTCAATGTAGGTGAGGGTTTAGGATACAACCACATCATCCTCTGTTCGTTCTTCTTCTTGTGTGGGAATGACTTCTGTGCCTGGTGCGTCTGTAGGCATGAAATGCCATGAAGCTTTGCTCTATGTTGCTGCCGGGTCCTCTGTCTCCATAATTGATTTGAGAACAATGCGAAAAGTTTGCACCATAGCTAGTCGTCAGTCAAATCTATATTCTTTTGAATTTTTGCCCTCAAAATCCTTAATCTGCACAGGTGGAATTGGCAGGTAATACTTTTTTTTCTGAGAAAAAAATAAATTTAGTATGTCAATTACTACTGTTCATTTATCTTGGGGAGTGTTTCTTTTGATCTTATTATTGCGAGAATATGTACAATAGATTACACTACCACTTTGTATGTAGGAGACACTATAATGCAGTTTGTGAATTCATTCATGTCATGATTGGGGAAAAATAAAAGATTTCATGTAAAACTTGATTTGGTAGAAAATTGTTACTTTATTCATTGGCATTAAAATGGAGGCAGTTCCCTTCGAGTTATGTCAATTTTGGTTGGTGAGCCAGTTTTGTGATGCAATATCAATAATATATATGACTGGATCTCAAATGACTATATGTAGTTTGACTTAATTATTTCCTAATTTGAAGTTATTGTATTGACATAACCATAAAAATGGCACATTATCTGTAGAGCATCGCTTTGGGATATCAGAAGTTGCGACAGTCCGAAAGCAGAACCAATAACTGAGCTGGATGGACATATGGGTCCAGTCACGCGCTTACACATGGATCCATACAAAATAGTTACAGGAGGCCCTGACGATACCTATGTTAACATTTGGGAGGCTGAAACTGGAACACAAACGAATTCCTTGATATGCTGTTCTCCGGATAGTTTTTATTCTAGCAATGGATGTTCAGCGATGTCTGTAGATGGGTGTCGAATCAGTTGTGATGAAGAACAGAGTGTTTTACGCTACAGGGACTTCAACAATGCTACTTGTGTTGCTGCTTCAGATGAGAGTAGGCCTGCTTCGAAATTTTGGGGTCTACAATCTTATAGTGACGCTGATGAATCTGATGGCTGATTGCATCATCTTGCTAAGATATTGGGATTTTTAGTACACCCCTGGAAATTGTCATCATGGGTCTGTTTTTTTTTGGGGGGGCTGGGGTGTTGGGTGGAGGGGATGGGGGTTGTGGTTTTCTTCTTCTATTTGTTTGATGGGAAAGGCTTGGGTAAGTCAACGTTGTATATTGTGATAATTTAAATTCTGTACATTTTGATAGACATTGTTTTGAAATTGTTGTAGAGATGGTTCAAATAATACTTCAGATTATTGGAAGTCATGCATTACTACAGACGGTGCCATTTAACTGAGTTTTTGATCCATGACTGTCTACATTTGAAAAGACGTTCTAGTTGACCAGATGCGAGTAATTTGTAGGAAACTTATGCTCATTTCAAATTTGTACGATAATAAATTAAAATTAAAATTTGAGTCCTTCGATAATGTTTTGATTGACGTGATTTATAGGTATTTTTGTGAATTTTAAATTTACATATAATTGCAAATTTAAAGCCTCGCGGTTGAAATAATTCTCAAGTGTTATGCTGAAAAATATGTTGAATGTTGGGGCCTAGCAATGTAACCTCCATGGTAAAATAAATTGCACAGATAATCGTCTGTATTTCTTCGGTTCAGATAATGTACTCTCACAGCCTCAACCCGGATATCCTGATTTTGACCCAACTTACTCTCCCTACTTTATGTATCACTTCCAGTCAGTCAACTGGCATTCTCCAAGCGCTAACACTACGTTCCGCAAAATGACCACCACCACCACCGTCCTCCTCCTCCTCCCCCTCCTTATGAGCACCCTTCTACCCGCCACCACCTCCTCCGCCCCAATCCTAGGGCTGGACACGTTCCTAACCAGCCAATCCCATCATGACCCACAAGCCACCAACGACTCCTTCCTCTCTCTCCCCTCCTCCCTCAAGAAATCCCTCTCTCACCCTTCTCTTCACCCACCCACCACCGCCTCCCTCCTCTCTCTCCAACTCTCCGTTCCCATCACCGTCAAACTTGTAGGCCCGACCTCCTCCTTCCCTTCCTCATCTCCTTCCCTCCTATCCTCATTCCTTTCCTCCACGATCTCTTCCGATCACTTCCACGTCATCACTCCCTTCAACCCCAACCACCACCAACTCTCTCTCTCCCACTCTCTCCATTTGGACGTTTCTCTGTCTTCACCTTCTCTCTCTACCCATCTCTCTGAAACCCTGAAATCCCATCTCTCCTCCACCCCGTCGTCTCTCCGATCCCCTCTTGTCTCTGTCTCGTACTCAATCGTCGATCAAATCATCAAACAAGACTTCGAAAAAGAAAACCCCGTCAACGGAATTTACATATATATTCTCAATTTGGGATCTCAATCGAAGTCTTATGCTTATAGTTATACTCCAGGCGATGATTCGCCGGGTTTTGCCAAGTGTTCGGGGACTATTTGGACGGGAAAAGATCGGTACTTATGGATTGATCTGGGTGCTGGACCGGTGGATTATGGGCCGGCTTTGTCTGGTGATGGGGTTTTGCCAAGAGGCGAGTTTCATCATCTAACGACATTGCACGGTCGACCCAAGTCGCAAAAGGCGTTGCTTTCTGACTTGTCGTCTTTGGTTTGGAGTGCTTATCAGGTACTACTGGTGCCCTCTTTGAGAATTCCTGTTCCTTTTGAGAGTTCATTGATTGTTCAGTTCATACATATATATGCTTCGGATGCTAAGGATAGTAATGGGTTGGATTGGAATTCCATAGAGAGGACTTTTATGGATGAGGTTAATGATAAGGGGTTGTTGTTGGGTGATCAGACTTTGAGATTCAAGAAATATGAGGTCAAATTAGCAGACTGCACGATTTGTTCTTTTGTTATTTCACGGGCCATTACTTCTTACACTTCTAGGTACTTGTTTGATAACTATACTTTGATTGTTAGTGAGTATTTGGATTCGAAGCGCATGCATCGAATGATATCTGAATCAGGTGAGGAGTTTAGGAAGTTGGCGAGGCTTCCGGAGGAGGATTTTGGGAGGGTTCTTCCTGTTTATGTTTTTGATTTGGACGTCAATACCATATTGCTGCTTGATCGATATCACCAATCTGTCGCATTTAAAGATATGGTTATTGCTGTCAGGACGAAGAACACGCAAACTGTGAGCGATTATAGTTGTAATGGGCGTCACGTATTTACACAGACTCGGGAGCTTGAAAGACCACTTGTGGGTTCGATTTTGCAGAGTATGTGGGGTGTTTCCCCAACACATTTGGTGTGGAGTCCTAGGCATAATAGTACCTTTGTGGATTATACATGGAGTGTTGGCCATACACCTTTTGGGCCGTTTTCAGAGATTTCTTCGTTGTCTTTTGTACAGAAGGATGCAGCTAGGAGGAATTTTCTTTTGACATCTTTGAATTACAGTGTTATGAGTGCTATTGATGTGCTTGAATCCATAGCTGCACATGGTGGGGACAGAAAGCTTCTTAAACAGAATCAACATACCGAGTTTGTACAAAGGTTGAATTTATTCAAGTACAAGCTGGACAAAGCTATTTCTGCGTTGTCCCATTTCGATTTTGAGATGGCTTTGTATTTCTTGAGGTCTTCAGACCATGATCTATATGGCATCCACTCTCTTGTTTATCATGCATCTCAAGACCTGGAGGCATCACTTGTTTGTTTCAAGGACCCTCCATTTCCATGGGCATCCGTGTCTATGTCAGCAGGAGTACTCTTTGCCGTCTTCTATGTTTATGCAAAAAGAGACAAATTATTTAGTAACAAAAGAAAGCAGTTTTGATTTTGAAGTTTCAAAAGCATTGGATCTGATATTGTCTAATCAGTGCAATCCTGTATTTCTGTAATAGAGGCATGTTGCAAGGTCACAAACTAATGTTCCATTTGAGTAAGAAATTACTGCAGTTTGAGCTAGCATATTGACTTCTTTTCAATTTTTTTAAGTCTGTTAAGTAAATGTAGTCAACTAGTGCTGGTAATATGAGGCCTGTTTATTATTAGGTGCAATAATATTTTTACTTTTCTATGACACCCCTGATGTTTGAGGCATGTCAAAACATGACCCTACGAGACCAACTCCTCCTCCCCTCTCTTTTCCTCAAACGAAAAAGGCAGCACGCAGGCAGTGGATTTGCAATCGCAAAACATGTTGGTTAAAGGGTGGGTTATCTTGATGGTATGCAACCTATCAATATGGTTTTCTGGCAGCAGCTTTTTATATGGCCATGCATTCTGGACTAGTGCTGAAGATGTGTGACACTGTGGTTTCAAACCTATCAATTGCATTCTGTTAGTTGATTGAAATAATCTGATATCCTTGATAAATGAGGGAATGCCGTGTTTTTATTGTGGTTCTAAGGGGTGAACCATCCCTGATTATGCAATCATGGGGATGAGGCAGCTGAGGTACTGATGGCTTCATGTTTTAATTGTTAGAAAGTACTCAACCAAATATTTGTGGTTTTTCCCATTCCTTCTTGTTTCCTCTGATGCATTAATTTGCAGTTTGTTTGGTCTTTGTAGGGACTTATTTTGGAGGAATCTCATTTCATAACAGACTGCATTGTATTGTAGAAGCATCTTTCTTTCTCAAAATCAACAGAAGTCTATGTAGGCCCTTCTTCTCTATGGATACAGCAATTGAAACAAAAACTAAAAATCTCAGTCTCTCTAGATCATAAATGTTTTTCTATATTTTGTTCTCTTCCCTTTTCATGGATGGTTGGATAGAGACAAGATAGTTGTGTAATTCGTGTTTCGAATAAGTGAGAGCAATCTATGTTTAGCTGTTTATATAACCTTGGGAGTTAAAAACACTAGATATATTTCATTCCCGCATCAACCAAGGAAGACTATGATTCAAAATTTCTTACAAGAAGCAACATAAACTGTTCAAGGCATCTACTTGCCAATGAAAAGATGAAGCCGTGTTTATAATGTTGTTCCAAGCGAATTACTTTGCCGATTATAACTGAAGTGGAAGTCTCCTTGCAACTCAATACCATGAGTGTTGGAAGAGAGCACATATGGGATATCACCAGTTCCTTCATAAAATATCTTAGCATACTCATCATCACTACCCAGCTGTGCTTGGTTCTTTGTGTCTTCAGGATCATTTTCTTCTTGAGAGATACTTAAGTTCTTCTGGACCAGTTCTCTAAACATTGAAGACCGAAGGAGTAGTCCAAGTGCTGTTGGGGCGGAAGATTTGTTGCATGAACTAGCAGTGAATTTACCTTGGAATAATTCTTGCTTTAGTGGAGAAATGTGTTCATCTACATTTAATGTGTTAGTGTGGAAGAAGGGTTGGAATTCTTCACCAGAATTGAAATTAGGCGATGGCAATGCCTTAGATTCTATGTTGGTCTGTGGTTCCTGAACAGAAACTGGAGAGGTTTTTTCTGGCTTCAACCATTTGATATAGGTACTCAAGTCAAAGTTGGTCACAGCGTTGATTCCTCTGTACTCTATCGCTGCAACGTCATATGCACGAGCAGCGTCCTCTTGGGTACCTGTAAAGAGATATGCCGCTTAGGTAAGAACAAACAATAGTATATATTGTTTTACTGTGTCAATTCATGTCAAGATTGATTCTTTTGTGATGATTCAAGACTTGGTCTTTTTATCATATATGTTAATGCATCAAACATTCATCTTAGAAGATCACAATAGTTTGTTTAGGTGTAACTTACTGTAAGTGCCAAGATAGAGATATTTATTCCCAAAAACTCTCCCTATCCTTGCTTCCCATCTCCCATTGTGATGGTGCCTGCATTTAGACCCCCAAAATGATATTCAGAACAATCTGCTATTTCATCAGTAATACTGGAGTTTCTTCATTGTTATTTATTAATAAAAATATACCTTGCAACACCCCTGTACTTGGATACCCCTCTCGAAAAGCCACTGCTCTTTCTATAAGCAAGAAAAACCAGTCAATGTTAATCAATTGAACTGGTCATGGAGAACCTTTATTGCATCAAATATCTATTGATAATCCTACCTTCTTAGTGAGGCTAGGTACTCTTCTTTTGTTATGGTCTGCATTATTTCAATTTCTTTCTCATAATCAGAGATCTGGCAAAAATATCGAGGATGTTGATTATAATTAAAAATCCAGAGGTAGTACATAGATATATAAATGCACAACTCTAAAATATACAATAAATGTACCGGGAAGTTGGTGAATGTTGATGTCCCCCAGTACTTAAGTGCAGCTAAATCATAGGCTCTCGCTGCAGATTCTTCGTCATCATATGCTCCTGAAGAATGGGGAGAAACAAGGGCTGTATTAATTTCTCTTTACACCATAAATAAGTTCAGAAAAGTAAAGTAAGGAGACCTCGAGCATAAGATGATAAAACCATGGAGCCAAAAGTACTCACCCAGATAAACTGTCCAGTCCCAGATGTCCATGCCAAAGTTCACAAAGGAAGAAAATAAAAATATCCTTATTAGGCACTAGCATTGGTTGAAAAATTTTGAAATAAATAAAGAGCAGTGAAAGCTGTCGACCTTGTTTCCCTTTCTTCTTCTGTGTCACATTCCAGGAAAGTTTATCCCACAAGTGTGCTTCAAACCGGCGTGTCCATCTATGCCTGCTGACACCGCGAAATCTTGAACTTCTCTTCACAGATGTAGGAGCAGAAAACTGATCAACTTCTTGAGGTGGTGGTTGTTGCTGTCCTTGTTGATTATCACAGCTGAGTGTACTTGCTGCAGTATCTCTTCTTCGTCTCTTGACACACTGTCCTTCTGGCGCCTTTCCATCCACCATGCACATGCGGCGCCTTCCAGGGTTTTCTTCATTCTTCACCATCACCATTTCCATATCTTCTGATCTTTGTTTGATGATTTCTGTATTTGGTTGCCTTGTATCCTCACCATCACCATTTCCATATATATATATATATTCTGTGGGCTTGTTTTATTTTTTATTATGTTTTGTATTTTGTTGTTACAACTGGAATTTAGACATGGACAGGGGTGTCGATGAAGACTATGATTTTGGTACAGTTAAAGACAGGTCTGATATTTCATTGCTCTGTTTACCACAAGAAACCAAAAAAAGTTTGATGGTTTTGGGAATTTTTTGATATAGCCGGTTAGTTGGAATCAGTTCATGAAGTGAGGTTGGGGGGGGCGTTTCTGCCATTTCAAAAGCAATCAGGGGGTGATTCAGTCACTCAAAGATATAAATTGTTTCCTAACTACATTATGATTTGGTCATCACGAGTTTGATTTGAGAAAAAAATCTCTCCGCATGTGAGTTAAGATTGCATATATTTGACCTTTCATAATCATCATAGTGACATTATTCGTACACCAGACCGTCATTGTTAGTTAGAGTTTAAAATGTTCAGAGGTTAAAACATTAGTGTGCGAAATCTCCGAGTGATTATGTATTTTGATTTGGTCATATATTCTACTTTTAACTGATTGAAACCCCACATCTTCATCTTCATCTTGATTGATCATTGAGTAGAACTAACTGTTTTCCTCATGGTGCATCTGGTGGATTTAAAGATCTTTGTGAAATAAAAACTGGGCATTCATAGTCCTCTACAACCAACCAAGAACCACAAAACTGATTGCAATTTGTAAAATTTGTATCTGTTTGCTGATACGAGTAACTTCCTATTCTTAGCTGATAGTAAATGTCCAAAACTAAAACATCCATTCACACTTAAATGAGCTGTCAGCAATAAGCACAAGAGAACATCTAGTTAGAACAAAGAATTGAAAGATGAAAATTCAGGAATGTGGATTGTTATTGTTGTTGTTGTTGCGTTGACGCAGACAAGTTTCATGTATATCAAACAAATTTTCACGTATTTCAGATTCAAATCTTCCAGAATAAGTCTAGTTTTTTGTTTTACATGATAAGAGAACTAGTGTAGTTGAATCTCATAGGTCGGCATGAATCCATAAAAAACATTGCAAAATTGTCATATATTGAATTATTTCCTCGGATTCTTCGTTTAGTTTAGTATAACTTTTGTTCCATGGGAGATAGCGTTTGTTCCCTCTATGGAGCTTTAAATGGCGATGTCTTCTATGGAATCTACTGATGTTTTATATTCATTGTGCTGTTCTAAACAAAACTGTTAAGCTACTTCATTTGCAAGAAATATGCTTAGGATGACATATATGAAAGAAATATCTTAAACAACGTATAATCTTATGTTGTAATGGCAAGAAGAACAAATGAAAATATTATAGTTGAAGTAACAAGTGTAAATTTCATTCTTCTTCTTTCTTTGTTGTGACTGCATGACAAAAGTAAAACCTACTAGATTTTACATAATCTATGTATGAAGCCTTGATTGCTGATCTTTATAGATGATGATGTATTTCAAGGTCAGTTTGAATCGTGCACAAACTACATAATCAATAGTTATAAGAGTCGTTTTTCATTCTATAAGTTCTTTTAGAGTTTAAAAGGTAGTAGTATCCAACCCCCCAACACACCGAGTAAATGGTAGACAATCTTATCTCATTTTTTAGAGGCTAATTTGTAAACTTAAAATCTATTAGGTAGTGTTTAGACAGATGAGTACTGTTTATGAGCAATATTATTGATATCTAATTTGTTGATCTAATTTATTATAGTCATTGGATTGACTGTAGACGCCATTAAACATTGAAATTTGATGTTAATTCAACGGTTATTATAAAATTATATCATTAAATCAAAAACTTAAATCAAAATTTTAAATCTAAATAGCATTCTTCGCTGTTTATTGCTCTAATTCGATCTGTTGATTCTTTAAGAATGTGATTCTGTGAAGTATGCTAGTGTTGGGCAGATCAGTTTGGGCCCAAAGGAAGTATGAGTTGGGCTTGGGCTTTTACTTGTTCCCCTCCATCATCTAATATTCGCTTGAACTACGGCTTCATCAGCCCCGTTGCATCTATTAATCCAGCCAAAATTTGCTTATGCGGAAGATCAACGTAGTCATGATTGGTCCAGCTTCAGCTTTATTTAACGGTTTAATTTACATTTTTATTTAAGTTTTGTATTTGAGTCAAATCTGAGATTTTCACTAAATATCTTTAGAAATTAAATATTAAATCTTAGCATTCAAATATAATATAATTAATCAAATATTAAATGTATTAATGAAGAGAGGAGAGAGATAAATTTATAATAAAAAATTCAAACCTTTTGAATTTGAATTTTAGTAACTTTTTCGAATCAGATCACGAGAAATTTATCTTTCATGAATACCTTAGTTACAACATGGATGACCTGCTTTTAATCGGATCAGAAAAAAGATTAGTCAAAATACGCTTAAATTAGTCTGGACATCACTGACTATTGAACAAAAAACAAGGGCAATGTTATATTTCCTAATTTTTCTTACAAAATCTCTATCTCAAATGATGTGACATAACTTTTAACCATCAAATAAGTGTGTATCATTAATATTCAATAATAGAGTTTATGTCACATCATTTTAGAATGAAAGATTCCCTAAAAATTTTTAGTAAATATAACATTACTTTTCTAAAAAATAAAAAAATAAACATTACTTGCTTTTTAATTCATATAAAAAAAACATGAAAATTTGATTAGAGTTAAGACATTTATAATTGGATAATTGTTATCCACATTCCCTCTAGATAGGTATATCCTCAATGAGACCATCTCCCTTATCCAAAATATCATTGATACTCTTTCTAATTTATATTTAAACAACATTGATACCTCATGTGGTTAAACCACAATTTCTAACAAAAACAAAAATCTAAAATACAAAAATTGTTCCTGCATAAACCCCAAACAATATTTTTATATAAAATTTGTTTAAAATTTGAGTCGATTAAAATTTATTTTTTTATATATTAAAATTTGATCAGATTAATTGTTGATTAAATTTTTTTTTTATGTATTACAATTTGAGACTATTAATTTTTTTTTACATATTAAAATTTGAGTTTATTCGAGCTAAATTTGAATCGTTAGCGCTGATTAAAATTTGTATTTTTTTTTACGTATTAAAAATCAATTCAAGTTAATTAACTTTTTTTTTCTTATTCAAATTTTTATTTTTTTATTTATCAAAATTTGGACTCGAATTGAATTTTAATTGACTTAAATTTTAATATGTAAAAAATATAATTTTTAAAAGACTCAAATTTTAATACATAAAACAATTTAATTTGCTCGAGTTGAATATTAATCGCCCCCAATTTTAATACATAAAAAAATTTAAAAGACAGAGGAGATCTCATTGAAGATATGTCTATCTAGAAGGGGCGTAGATGAATTTTTTTTTAAAATATATCATGAACAATTTAGTAAAATTTTATTCTAGTTAATATCATTAATGTGGCAGGGGTGTCAATGATGTTTCAAATAAGAGTAATATTATTTGGACATAAAAATTTACTTAATTTGCTGACATAATAATGTGATTTTATAGGAATCATTCGATTAATACAAAGTTTCAATGTTTGATTGAGTCTATAATGAATTCAAATGTCACAATAAATTAGGCCAATAAATTATAACAGTAAATTATGTCTCAAAAATATTACTCTTTAAATAATAAATTTTTTTTATTAAAAATATGTTTATCTAAAACTGGTGTTACCTTTTATCATCTGAGTGAATGTGCTTAAATAATATATTTTTAATAACCCAAATTTCATCTTGGACAGCCAATGCCAGAGCTAGGATTCACTACCAGCACTTCCATGTAGCCAAATAGGAAGTTGCCGTATGAGAGTAATTCACGTGACCCCATGATTAGTCTGTAACATGCACGTCGGCAAATTTTATTCTTTTACGGTGGACAGGTCACACCAAATAATTACTTCTTTCGCGCCACACCCTGATGTGCGCCGTCGCGTTCCAAACAGTTTAGCTAAATTACTAACAGATCTCTCGAAGTTTGTCATTTATTCAGACAGACTCCCTCAAGTATATGAAATTACAGACAGGCCCCTTCTGAGTGACGTTCTGGTAACGGAGCAAACAAAAATGACTAAATGACATAAATGCCCAGAGATATTTTGTTGATTTGATTCATTTACTAAAATACCCATATTATCTACGCTAAACACTACCCGCATCGTGTTCTATGTGTCCCGCCTTCGTCTTCTCTGTCTTTGTCTTTGCCCCTCTCTCTCTCATCTCATCCGAAGTTATGAGTTTATCACTATAGATAGCAATGATTTTTTTTATATTTTTGAAGCTCATCTTGGTATTGAAGAAAATAGAGAGTGAATCATACAATCGTAGTGTAGATGGGTACAATGTAATGGGGTTTTATTTATGCTTCAAGAATTGTTTACATGTCATGTTTAAGGATAGATAATCGGCTGAAAACATCACTTTGAGGTTTATAGTTTTTTTTTACGAATTAATACCATTTGATTAGAATATGTTTGAAACAAATTTGGGGTTTTTTTCTCATATCTAACATACATGCAAATATTGATTGATTATATTAAAGTAAAACCAACAAATTCGAAAAATGGGTTTTTTTGTCTGCATCATCAAATGGGTTATGTGGTCTCTATGATGCATCAGTAAGCTAACTGATCATAATTTTTGTATTTTTATGTTTTTTTCTTGCGGCTACGTTTTTCTGTGTTTATGTGATTTTAATTTTCTTATGGTTTGTTTGTTTTTCTTGTGGTTTCGCTTTTCTGTGTTTATGATCTTGATTTAATTATGGTTTTTTTTGTGTATTTTTCTTATGACTTTTTTTTTGTGTTTATTTGATATTAATTTTGTTATAATTTGCTTGTGTTTTCTGTGTTTTTATGGGTTGTGTTTTTTTGTGTTTTTAGGTGTTGCCACACATTTGCAGTAGAAGTATATTCTGAAACTTTTTTTGATTGTTGGTATATATGTACTCAAATGGTCATAGTCTTAGTTATTTGAATCCTTCTATCGTGGCTTTCATTTGGTTGAAGACACCTCGTCATGCTACCAGCTTCCTTTTCTAGATAAAAAATGAGGGCTCGTTTTTCACATCAACACTTATTATTGTTAAATCGCAACCACCATCCCTTGGAAGCTCCACCATACACACTGTTGCATGTAGAATCCTTTGTTTGAACAATTCACCGAAAATACCAAACACAAAATATCAAGATTTAATTTGAAAATCAAAAAGAGAATACATAATAACTTAAGTTTTGTGAGAAAACTGACCCTTATGATGCCTTTCTCAAAATATTGTCAACGCATGCAATTGGAGCTACTTACTTATGGCTTGTTCAACTATCATTGTGGGAACTAGGAAGCAATAGGTAAGCGTGTGATAAAGTCTTGGTCCCAACAAAGAAAAATGGTAGTTTGGAGATAATGAATATACAATTTGCTGACACAATGCATTTTTGACTGTCCTCTAACGGATACTAACGGCAATGGGTTTAAGTGACATGCCTGCACAAATTTGAAAGGGTGTATGTGTAATTACTTTTATCAGAGGGGTTTATTTGATTAAGGTGTCTATGTGTAATTTACCCAACAGTTTATATACGGTCTCGACTGTGCAGCCTCGACAGTGAAGAGCACCCTCTCTCTCTCTCTCTCTCTCTCTCTCTCTCTCTCTCTCTCTCTCTCACAACCGAGATCCGAAGCTATGACAGACGGTCACTCGTTCAACAATATCTCTCTTGGAGGCCGTGGGGGCACTGTGAGATCGCTCTCTCTTTCCTTTCTATTCGTCAAATGAGTTTGACGTTCAATGAAATTGATTTCATGTGTTTAGCTTTCGGTTTCTCCATGCTTCCAATTTTGAAATTCCCGTTTTTGTTATTTCTTTGTCATCCCTGTGCGAATCGTTGTGGGATTTTTATTTATTGGAGTATTTTGCTTTTGATTTCCACGTTTTTCTAGGGTTTTGCTTGTGATTTTCACAAAATTGCTTCTAATTGTTCATAAAGCTTTCTACGGTTTCTTCATTTTGAATTTTTTGTGTTGACATTGAGGAATGCTTAGTGGGATTGTGCAACTATAGCAGAATTTAGGATTGGAAATTCAGTTTATTGCTTATTTTCCAGAAATTATAGTCTTTTCCGATTGCGCCCCAAAATATTTCCTGTTTTCACCTGTGAACCAAAATTTAGGGTTGTAAATTAGGGTTTCAAAGTTGAGTTGCCCCAATTGTGGTTCCCATTCTTACTAATTAGTTATTTAGTTATGTTTTCTCTGATGTACTTGCAAGCATACAGATAAATAATCCGGTTGGTTTTTTGTGGGTATATTTATGCTTATACAGAATCAAGGGCAAATTAGGGTTCATTCCGAAGGTATACTGTGGAAGAAAATTGGGGGCGGTAAGGCCGTTGAAGTGGATAAGTCTGATGTACTGAGCCTTACCTGGATGAAGGTTCCCCGGACTAATCAGCTTGGATTTCGGATTAAGGATGGTCTGTACTACAAATTCACTGGTTTCCGTGACCAGGTCTCTCTCTCTCTCTGAGTTTTTTTTTTGCTGATTATGATTTTATTGAGATAATGACACATTTTCCCTTGCATGTACTGGATATGGAACCTAGTGGATGAATATTTGAATATTATATGTCCAGCTTAAGTAATATTCAGTCAGCTGTAGATAAGTTTGCGCTCTTAGCTGGGTAGTTTTTTAGGCTTTGCTGTAGTATTTACTAAGATGTAACCAGCTGTATTTGGGGCCTGGCACAAATTTAAGGAAGATCATAGATGGTGCATTTTTTCTTTCCCATGTACATAAGCCTATAACCATGACCAAATGCTTGCTTCTGTAGTATTAGTTGTATCGACCATAGACTTTCTACCAGTAAATTGCTCACACATAAGGCATGGTAATTTTAACTTTGAACATTTGGTGTTACAAAGGGCTATTAAAAATATTATTATTGCAAACTGCTGTACCTGATATGAAGTTAGTCTCCTCAATATTTTCCTTCATTTATTCTTCCTATATTCTGAACTTTATTTCTTGTTTTTCCCCTCTCCTTTTGAGAGAAAGTAAATGATCTTATTGAAGAAAAGTGTAACACTAAAGAGGTGTTTATACCTTGCTTTCCCATGCGACACATATCCAGATAAGTTCTTTTCCGTATTTGGGTCTGTTTTGTTCCATGAGGCAATGTTAGTTTTGTAAGAAAGGAGAAAGGAATAGTAGAAAGCGTGTTTAATGGGACATAGCACCTTTATTTTGTGAGCTGCCTATTAGTGTGTTGTGGTCGATTTGTCTTGCTTACAAGACACAGCTGAAATATATTTGTTTCATGTACTTTGGTTCTTCTTTTTTGCTTTCATTGTTGTTGTTGGGTGTTTGATCCTTGGCTTGAGGGCCCACACCATTGTCTTGTTGTATTCATGCAGGATGATAAATTCTAGTGATTTGACTTTAGGAAGCATGCTAAACACTTGTCTTTCTCCCAGTTGTGTGTTGTGTGCAGCTGTAGCAAGAGCATTAATCTTGTGGTTTTTCACTGTCCTTTTGCATCAGAAGGCCTAAACCTTTGTCCAAAATGTGAACTCGTTTGTTTCTATGTTTGTGGAGAGTTTGAAAGCTTTGAGAGAAGTAAAAAAGCCTTCCATTCTATGGATTATGTGGTTAGGACTGTTTTATGGGTTACTAGGACAGAAGAAGAAAGATATTTCTATATGTTAAAATATAATATGAGATTGTACGTGGGAAAGAACTTGTTTGTGCCTTTGGGGTTGCAGTCAACAAAGAGTGGTTATTAGTGGTGTGTATGATCTTTTTGGCTATTTAATTGTAGTTTTTTTTTCTCTTTGTTGTACTTATGCTGGTATTCTGCCAGTTCATGTTTTGAACACTTTTTACCTTTCCCCTTTCTTCATTGTTTAAATTTATATGTCTTATGAAAAAAGTCCTTGTTTCGAGGAATACTATTCTGCTAGCACTGTAGTCATCTGTATGACAAAAAAGAATAATAGAAAATAAAAGAAATGGGAAGACTAATTGTTTATAGGTTTTCATCCAATGCCCAGCCTTCTTCGTTGTTGGTCAGATCTGTTGAAGTTGGCCAAGGCCATAGTTCCAGCCCTGCCGCTTTTTTTGATGTTTGATATGATTTATCACCTTTTTGACTCCTCTCTGTCAAAGAAAAAACAAAACAAAGAACCCACTCCACCATACTAGCCTTAGTAGTTCCATCACTTATATTGCCCGGTAAGCTTCCCCCACAGATCCAGTGTTTTTCCTCTTAGTTCTCTGTCTAACAAGCCCAAATCTTTCAGTATTTTTTCATCTTGGACAACCAAGAGCGCCCGGATGAAAAAAACATCATCTTTGGCAGTGGGTTTGTGTGGCTGCTGATGTTGACGATAGTCGACGTCTCGCAGCAAAGGGAAGGGAGCATGGGATAGAGTGTTTGCACATCAGATGGAGAAGTTAGAAAGAAAGAGGAGATCCAAGTTACCATATAGGCCCCACTCATAAGGAAAGAAAATAGATATGACTTTAGACCATTTTTACCTTAAGGACTGGGAACAGGGCTTACTACAACCACCTTGTATTAAGTTATATGTAATGCATGCATATGCAATAGGTTTTGTTTGTCGCAATGCTCTTCAACTTTCTGGAATCCATGTTACATTTGGATTTCTGGAAACATGCTTATTTGTCTCTGAACTTGCTTTGCAGGACGTCACTAGTCTGACCAATTTTTTCCAGAATTCTTGGGGGATAACGCCGGAAGAGAAGCAGCTTTCTGTTAGTGGAAAAAATTGGGGAGAAGTTGATTTAAATGGTCAGTGGAATTCTTTGCCATTAGTGTTTTTTTTTATATTCTTTTATTGGGAGTAGTTTTTGAGCCTTTCTTCGCATAATTTCACTTGTGGTCTCTTATCTACTTTGAAGATTGTAGGATCTGGCATTGGGCGGACTTAGACAATTGTTTGTGCTCACTGCTGTATTGTTTACTTTGAAAAGACGGTAGACAATATTTTAGCTAGTAGTCCATGCCTTGAGTTTTTTTGGCATGCTCTCTTACAGTTTATAGACTACCGAAGTTGCAGAATTCCGGTGTCTTGTTTCAGAAACATTAAACATTTCATGTAATTTTGGGTGGTTATTACCACTGAAGCTAGTTTACCATCTTGATTTAATCATTGGTTCCTCAATTTGCATATGTGCTTCAGTTTTTTTTAATGAATTCTCCGGTGCCTTCTTTTTTCTCCAGGAAATATGCTTACTTTTCTTGTTGGTTCCAAGCAAGCGTTTGAGGTATCTTTAGCAGATGTCTCCCAAACACAACTTCAGGGAAAAAATGATGTCATGTTGGAGTTCCACGTGGATGATACAACTGGGGCCAATGAGGTTGCTTATGATTGCTGCTTATGTTTTTTATTTGTGTTGTCAAGTACATGTGATATTAAGAATCACTTGCCCGTTGGAGTGATTCCTATGTGAATTTGTGAAGTTTGAGGGCCATTATATGTTTCCTTCAGAGTCACTTTATAAGATTAATTTTATTAATAATCCTTGTACATTTGCATTATGATTGCAGAAAGATTCGCTGATGGAAATCAGTTTTCACATACCTAACTCGAACACTCAGTTTGTTGGTGATGAAAGTCATCCTCCTGCACAGGTATGTTGTTGGGGATTCTATTTGAACTTGATCGGTATTACTCGAAAACTTGTGTAGTAATGTTGGGATTACTTCCATTAGGTCTTCCGTGACAAAATCATGTCAATGGCAGATGTTGGAGCAGGAGGTGAAGATGCTGTTGTTACTTTTGAGGGGATTGCGATACTTACTCCAAGGTAGGTGTTGTAGTAATATTTGGTCTCGTTGATTCATCCAGTTTTTATTCCTCCTGGTTTCTGGTTCAAAAGATTTAACTCAAGTGTTCTCTCCTTTAAGGGGCCGATACAATGTAGAGCTTCATCTTTCATTTCTGCGACTCCAAGGGCAAGCCAACGATTTCAAAATTCAGTACAGCAGTGTTGTTCGTCTCTTTTTACTGCCCAAGGTATTCAATTTTTGTGAAGACACCAATATGAATCTCTTGATTGTGATAGCTACTAAGATGTATTCATTTCCAATTGGCTGCCTTTAGGTTAACCTTCCTATAATATCTAGGTGATATACTGCAAAGGGCCATGATATGTTTTGGTTATGAAGCTTGTCTTGTTAATAGTCTGCGATGATCTATTGTTGCAGTTGAATGATTATGTGTTGTGGACAGTGCACATGTTCAAACTAATTCAGATTCTTCTTTGTTTGTGCAGTCTAATCAGCCACATACCTTTGTTGTTGTTACTCTTGATCCTCCAATCCGTAAAGGCCAAACTTTGTACCCACATATAGTATTGCAGGTGTAGAACTGCTACCATTCAATTGGATTTTAGCTTTCACACAACTGTGTTCATGTGTTGATCTGTTTGTCGACCATCTTGTACTCAGTTTGAAACAGATTATGTTGTAGAAAGCACCGTGTCAATGAATGAAGATCTTTTCAATGCCAAGTACAAAGACAAGTTAGAACCAACATATAAGGTAATTATTTGATGAGCAACCATTTTGAGGAACCTATTTATGTGTATACTGGGGGGGGTGCGGACTCTAGGTTTATACACTTTGAGACCGCAGTTCGGGCATGTTTGTTCACATGTATTAGTCTGATTGCATTGCCTTTTTAACTATCAGGGACTCATTCATGAAGTATTTACATTGATATTGCGTGCCTTGTCTGGTGCCAAAGTCACTAGACCAGGAAAGTTCCGTAGCTGTCAGGATGGTTATGCTGTGAAGTCATCATTGAAAGCTGAAGATGGACTCCTTTATCCGCTTGAAAAAAGCTTTTTCTTTTTACCCAAACCTCCAACCCTTATTCTTCATGAGGAGGTATAATTTTTAACACGACCTGAGATGATGTTTGATTATGGCCTATACTTCTGTAAACTAAGGCCGAGTATGCTTGATAATTGACTTGCTTTTCTTTTTAGATCGACTATATGGAGTTTGAGAGGCATGCTGCTGGAGGATCAAACATGCATTACTTTGATCTTCTGATAAGACTAAAGACTGAACAAGAACATCTCTTTAGGAACATTCAGAGAAATGAATATCATAATCTTTTTGACTTCATCAAGTCAGTACGAGAGTCCATTTTTCTGCTAGTGTTAGGAATTTTCATGATATGTATTTTTAACATTATCCTTTGGCAAATGCAGTTCAAAGGGTTTGAAAATTATGAATCTGGGAGATATCCGAACTGCAGATGGTGTTGCGGCTGTTTTGCAGAGCGATGATGATGATGCTGTCGATCCACATCTTGAGCGGATTAGAAATGAAACTGGTGGGGATGAGAGCGATGAGGAGGTAAACAAGTTTTTTTTTGCGTTTTCATTCATGTTCAGATCTTGGTCTGATGCGTATATTTGCTTAGCTTTTGTGGGTTATGTTTACATACATTGGCTATTGATTGCAAAAGGCATTAAACCCGTAGGGAGAATTTGATTTTTTGTTTGGTTATATATAATTGCTTTTAAGGTTATCTCTGGTAACTTTTCGCATGTCTTTATGGTCCATTATATGGGGTATTTTATCCTATTATTTGGCATGGTTGAAGGACGAAGATTTTGTTATTGACAAAGATGATGGAGGCTCTCCTACTGATGATTCTGGGGAAGGAGAATCTGATGCTAGTGAAAATGGAGAAGAGAAAGGGGTAATCATTTCTTTGTGTTTCCTTGTTCTACCTCTAAGGACACACGTAACTTTTAGAACTAGGTTGACACATGTTTGGTAAATCCAGATACCCGCTAAAATGAAACTTAAGAAAGAATCTTCAGCTGCAAAGGCATCTTCTAGTAGGAAAAAAACCAAAGATGGGGATGAGGACGGTACAAAGAAGAAGAAACAGAAGAAGAAAAAGGATCCAAATGCACCAAAGAGAGCAATGAGTGCTTTCATGTACTTCTCGCAGGCTGAAAGGGAGGTCAGTATATTTTGTATTGTCCATCACTCTTGTATTGATATAACTTGTAAGGGCATTCATTAAGCTCCCCAGGTGTTTTTGAGGCCTTCATTTTGCCTAAATCTACGTTGGTTTCAAGTCATCTGTTTGTCTTGAAAGTACATAGCTGTGTTTTTGTTCCCTTCTTCAACTTCATGCGACTTATTATGTTTTTTGATTGCAGAATGTGAGGAAAAATAGTCCTGGAATTTCATTCACGGAGATGGGAAGAGTTCTTGGAGACCAATGGAATAAGTTGTCAGGTTAGCCAATTCTCCGAAAGTTGTGGTTTATGATAGGTTTTCTCATACTGTACTGACAATTATTCTTGCAGCTGAGGAGAAGGAACCATATGAAGCAAAGGCTCGTGCAGACAAGAAACGATATGAAAGTGAAAGCAGCAGCTACAAGAACCCACAACCCAGAAATACAGATTCAGGAAACGAATCTGACAGTGCATAGGTTTAATGGTAGTTATGTGGCATCTAACCAGAGAGGTTCTATGATCCAGAATCCCAGATTATAGATTTCTAGGGCAAATGATGTCCAACCTCTCTCTTTGGCTTGGAAGTTAGAACTCTACGTTGCTGGCTACACTTCTAAATTGTAGTGTACTTTCGTTTGTTTATATTATTATTTTTGACACATCTAAGAATGAGAAAATCCATTTAGTTTAAAACAAAAGAATAAACATATACATACACACATCATTAATGTGGCACTCGTTGCCTTCTCTTTATATTGCCTAAAACTCTATTATAACCTCAAGATGTCACTAGTGACGAGTTATCAGCTAAATTTTGTTGTAGTCCTATATAGGATTGCCAATCATGCGTATGCAATTTATACCATTTTATGATTAGTAATGTTATTAGGACCTAAAGGAGAGAGATGACTTTGTAGATGGTGTTTCGTTGACTAGTTATAATCCTACTTCTAGAACTTGGTATTCATAATCGTATTTTTTTTCCTCTGTTTTTATACCGATGACGCTCTCAAGGTACACCTTACAAGCTTCTCTTTTTCCCCACGTCTAGAAGAGAAAAAAATAATAATTTAGTATGCCAATGATGCCTTGTGTGTCCTTATTTAAGAATGATATTGATTTGTACTTGCAAAAAGTTAATATGTATTGTTTGGTGTCAATTTTCTATCTTATTATAATTGTATTTCAATTGGCTAACAATATCTCAAGGTGGAAGGATTGTGCTTTCACAAACTCTTTGGAAGTGCTAGTACAATAAAGTTATAATATTATTTTAGTTTAATTCTTCAATGTTATTGGGTTGATGTCGGGTTTCAATTATTATTTGGAACTATTTTTAATCCAATAACACTGATTGATTATGTAAGTAAATTATTTTCAATAAAATGAAGATTTTCTATAGAGTTTTTTTGGAGGCCGATACCTAAGTCCAACAAAATTCAAAAAAAAAAAAACTCATTCGTCAATTTTCTTTTGGATTAAATCCCAGTTGAACAGTCAAACCAATTGGCATAACTAATGCCATTTAAAATTGTCAAAAATAACGACAATATTATCACCTAATTTAAATACATATTCTAAAAAGTTACATTATTATAATATATCCTTTTTCTCTATGAACATATATTGTCAGACAGATACTTAATAATCGTCATACATGTACACTAATCTTCTCCATAAACATAAATTGTTAGACAGATACACAATAGGGACACAACGAATTTTACACAACGAACAAAATATACGATCATTCAGATACATTATACGAATATACATCTACGAGATAAGTACATTAGTATTAATTGAGAAAAAACTATATATACGCTAATACTGGTACACAAGTTTATAAAACAAGACACAATTCAAAATTACGTAAATAATAACGAACATGTACCTAAACCTATCAACGAATACGTAAAACTTGTGTATCTAATTCGTGTATCCCCATTGGACTTAGTCACTAGCCTCCAAAAAATTCTAATATAAATATAAACATTAGAAAAGAGGGTTTGGATACCATACACTGTACCATGTCTCTCGCGTTCCCTCTCCCACTCCCACTCCCTCTCCCTCTCACAATTCCCAAAAGTAATGAAAGAAACCTTAGTTTGATATCCAGTTGTTTTAATCGGTCAAATGATCTCCTTGGTAGAACTAGGAAAACTGATCCTCCACCACCACCTTCACTTCTTCGTCACAGTCCTTGTCACAACCATACCCATCCATCACTTTATATATCACTCGCATCTCTTAAATATAAGTTGAAATCATGTGACAAAAACAAAATGAGTAATAAATATACAATAATTATCTAAAGATTTTAAAAACGAGGAAGGCGTTTTTATATGCTAGATATTTGTTAGGACTAAACGTAATTTACACGCCAAAAGAGGAATCTTAGCCTAATGAACTATTTTTTATATCTGTAAATGTAACTGTAGGTATATAATAATGGGCCAAGCCCATTTAATCCAGCCCGTATTTGAATACGGCCCAACCCAGATCTGGACAGTAATTACGGTAATCCCCCTGGTAAACATTTCCTGATGAACAATAAACCTACTCCTGTCTTTTAGCCAAAGAAATGAGACAGCTTAATTTCGTATTAGTCGCGGCTAATACGAGTCGGTTAAACGAGCAGGAAAAAGGTACCACGTGTTTCTAATATTCCCAAAATGCCCCCGGAAAAAAAATCCATTCCCCACCTACATATCACAATCAACGGCCCAAACATTCCGGAAGCCATTTTGTTCCCCATCAAACGGTCAATATCTTCAGAAGAACACGTAGCGGCACCCCGTTTAAAATAGGGATGACGAATTAGGGCTTTGTGGTGCTATATAGCCCTCAATCTCTCTGCTCAAGCAACAGAGTTTTCTGTATCTTGTCACTCCCTCTCTGCTCTATTTTGCTCTCCCTTTCTAGAAGGAAAGATGGGCAAGGGTCCTGGTCTTTACAGTGACATCGGCAAGAAAGCCCGAGGTCCTCTCTCTCTCTACCACACACACTGTAAAAATATATACCCACATATATGTATATGCACATTGTTGAGTTTTGGTGTCTTGAATATTGTTTTGTTGTTGTTGTTGTTTGTATTAGATCTTCTCTACAAGGACTACCAGACCGACCACAAGTTCACAATTACTACCTACTCTCCCACTGGAGTGGTGAGCTTTTTTCCATTACTTTTTTTTTTTCAGATCTGTGTATTTACTTGGGGTTTTCGTATAGGGTTTTTGCGTATGTATTGATTCTAGTTAATGTTTAAGTATGTGAGACTCATGTATGCATGTGTAGTTTTTTCATGTAGTGGATTTGATGGCTAGTTTATTTGTCAAGCATAAATTGTTGTATGTACCCTTGTGTGCGTAGTGTTTTGTGGATTTTTGTTTGATGTGTACACTGTATGCTTTTTTGCTCGATTGCATTGGCTAGATGTGAAGATATGAGGGATAGGGCGGTGTGCAAGAGTGTGTGTTACTTGGCGTATCAAATATTAAGGCAAAAGCATTTTTAGAACTTGTGCAAGATGGGGTCGATTGAACCATGCTAGTGATGTTTTGAAATCTATCGTTGTTATTGGTTTCCTTTGAAGTCAATGATTTTAATTTTATTTTTGTGATATGGGATGGTAAAATGCATGTGGTAAATTTTGTTGACAAATCTGATGAAGTATGTTCTTAATTATATGGTAGTAATTAAAGTTCAATCTTCATGTTAGCTTGGCCATAAAATATTCTTTTATCCAAATGGGTGTAGAATGCTCATTCTTTTAATGCGAACACTTGTCTGTCTTTTTCTGTTTGCTTGTTAGGTTTGATTCTGTGGTATTGTTATTAGTTGAAATTAGTTCACTCATTAGATGTTGGAATAGCAATACTTTTTCTGTTCACTTATATTTCTATATAGTGGAGCATTGCAAATGGTATAAATTTTTTTCACTTAAGCTAATTAATGCCAAACATGGTTTTGAATAACGGTAACGGTTGTTGTAACGGTAACGGTATAACGGACGTGGGTTAAAACGAGCGTTACATAATATTAACGGAAACCGAAAACGTGATTTTTTTTTTCAACTCACAATACCTATAAAACGTGAATATTTACATATTTTAACTCTAAAATAATGTAAATATTAGTGTTTAGTGATTTTTAGTGTATTTTATTGTACGTAAACATGTTTATGAGATTGAAAATATGTATAATATTAAATAAACATCAACGGTGACGAAAGTCGGGAATGTGAATTTTTTTTATTATTCACATCTTCCCTAAAAACGAAACATAGATTTAATTTTAATAAACTCGTTTTTTTTTATTGTCTTTAATAATTTTTTGTAATATAGACTTAATTTTAATTTATTAAATGAGATAATTTGTCCTAGCCAAATTTTTTTAAACAATTAGTCTAACTTAGTACACATCTATTTGAAGGTGGTTTTGGACATTTGGTCTTCACAGGCAACACCTTTTCTTATTCTGTGTTTGTGGAGTGTTGTTTTCTCCATTCTAATTCCCCACATGGCCAGCCATTATGAGATCACGAGGAACAATGATGAAAACTGATCCATCATAACCATTCACACTCCTAACTTCTTTCGAGTGAATTGTACCCAATCATTCTCACTTCATTGTCTTCGCATTCAAGACAAACCATCAAATGTTCATCTTTGCAACTTCTTGTACATAGATAAAATTATAAACATCGGCCACAAAATTTTATAAGAAGAAGAAATTCAATAGGTATGTATTGTATAAGGTTTGGATCTCTTCTCCCACCCGTTTAAACTGACTACCATATTTGTTCTTCTTCCATCCCTTTTTGGCTGCCAAACTAAAGATATACGCAGACGAATAACGGACCGTTACGGCACCGCAACGGGTTGTTACAGGCCATTACAATGCCGTAACGGCCGTTATGGGTGTGAATTTTTTTCAATCTGTTAAATTGGATTGCAATGGAATTGGAGGCCGCCGATACTGTTACGCGTCGTAACGGCCGATTTTCAAAACCCTGATACCAAAGACTAATCAGAAGTTGTATAACTTTTATTCGTTCTTTAGTGGTAGGACTAGTCCGAGGGTTGATTTTGGGATTCATCATCCAGTTGCATTTGACATAAATGAGTTGGATCTAGGATTCCAAACTAATTCTAATAACTGCACATTTTCTCTGTCAAAGTTGACATGATTAAGAAAAGTACAATGGAATGGATGCGGCTGCTCAATCTAGTTGGTTTTTTCGCTAGTTAATATTTTTGTCTTTGTCAATAATATATATGTAGATCCCTTGCTGTGATCTGAATATACTAAGATCTCCTTTTGTTGTAGGCTATTACTGCATCAGGAACAAGGAAAGGTGAGTTATTTCTGGCTGATATCAATACCCAGTTGAAGAACAAGAACATCACTACCGATATCAAAGTGGACTCGTTCTCTAATGTAAGCTCTGTCACATACTTTTTATCATATCTTTGTTCCTTGCACATTCCCCCACTTTTGATGTTTGGAAAGATTTCTCCCTCTTGTAATTCCTAACTATGCATGTCGTGAATTGGTGACTTGCATTAAATGGATTCAGCATTGATTAGTGAACCAAATTCTGATGACTTAAGTTTCAGTCTGGCTCGCGGTAAGATTTTTCTACAGCATGAAGGGTATGAGCTGTTTATAGTTATGAATTTTGAGCTCCTGTTGTCACAGTTCCTTGTGGCTATTTTTGCTATTTTCATGTGTTATCCTATTTCTGCTGGTTGGTTTGTTGGTTTTTCCGTTCTTCTATTTCGTTTGGTTTTTGTAGGGGTGTTTCGATGGAAATGAATTATGAAGTTGCAACTCTTGCTGATTTTTACTTATTTAAGCAGCAAAAGTTCACCTTTGTTGAACCCAGACAGGGGTTAAGTAGTGGCCTATGAATGCGAGTGCGTCATTGTGGCTCTTACTAATTAAACACCTTTGTTATTTTATCCCTTGATTATCTAACTGAATCATTGCTCGACCACCAGCTTTATACAACTATCACGGTCGATGAACCTACTCCGGGGCTGAAAACTATCTTTAGCATCAGAGTTCCTGAGCAAAGGTCTGGCAAGGTAAGTCATAAGTGATTTGGTATTTGGTTTCCACACTTTGAAATGCTTATATTGTTGTTTCCTGAATAACTCCTATACTAAGTTGGAGCACACGTCTGTCAAGAAAAATTAAATATAAATAAATGATAAAAAAGCCAGGACTTCTAATCATCTTATTGTATTGGCAGCTGGAACTTCAGTCTCTGCATGACTATGCGGGGGTAAGCACAAGCATTGGGTTGACAGCAAACCCGATTGTCAACTTCTCAGGTGTGGTGGGTACAAGTCTCCTCGCACTTGGGACTGATCTCTCCTTTGACACCAAGACAGGAGGTTTCACCAAGTGCAATGTTGGATTGAGCTTCACGAATGACGACCTTATTGCTTCTCTGACTATGTGAGTGGCATTTCTTAATTGGAGGATTATTTGCATCTTTTGCCCTTTACCCGTATATGTAGCTGTGAATTCTGATACATTATCCTAAGTTTCAGTGGTTGGGTATGTATAGTATTTTTTTAGGACGTGGAATATGAAATAGCTTCCTCTTTCCCCTGCTTGTAGAATATAATGTGAATTTTATGACCTCTATTTTAGCTTTAATTGTATGCTAGATACATAGATATCAGAATTGGGTGCACTGCTGGCAGGAGGTGCTATTTAGAAAAATCATTGTGAGAGATTAAGAAATAGTTCCCATGGTTCGTGTGGGTGCTTGCCATGTCTAATATTGCTTAACTGTGTTGTTGGCTTATAAGTGATGACCACGTATTGATGATTCAGGAATGAAAAGGGTGAAACACTGAATGCATCCTACTACCATTCAGTGAACCCCGCGACCTGTACTGCTGTTGGAGCAGAGGTGACCCATAACTTTGTAACCAGCGAGAACACCATCACAATTGGCACTCAGCATTCATTGGATCCTTTGACAACTGTGAAGGCACGGGTAAACAATTTTGGCAAGGCAAATGCTCTGATCCAGCATGAGTGGCGGCCAAAGTCCCTTTTCACCATTTCAGGAGAGATAGACACTAAGGCGGTCGACAAGACTGCAAAGTTTGGTTTGGCCTTGGCTCTCAAGCCATAAGTGAGCTATTCAGCTAACTATAGTTAGGAGCAATAAGGTGGTCCTAAAGAGTCGTTATACAGTTGCCTGTTCAGACTTCTGTTCTTTTGACGGTTTATTTTGGTGGCTTTCAGATTGTAAAAAATAATTTTACAACTGTTGCACGTCACTTAGATCTTATATTTGTCATTCATCTCTTGTTAAACTAAGGTTGAGCACCTGGTTCTGAAGAGGTTTGCCTTGAGGTTTTGTTCCAGTCCAATGATGGCTTTTTTTTCAGTAGTATATTTCCGAGAGTAATGTAATTGATTGCGGTACTTGCAGAAGGTTTTGCATGTGTCTTGGTGGCTGCCTTGTTATGTTTGGTTGGCCCAGCGTTTGAATTTTTTTCTGACTTGGGTCTTGTTTGTCATGCGAATTAGCATTAGATCAATTCATATCACCTAGCCAAACAGCCTTTGTACGTGGTAGAACTATTGCTGAGAACCTTGTTCTTGCTCGAGAGATCATTCACCAGATCAAGAGGAAAAAAGAAAAAGGGCTCTGTTGGTGCTTAAAATTGACATGGCGAAAGCTTTTGATAGGATTGAATGGCCTTTTCTACTTAAAATTCTGGCTATATTAGGGTTTCCTCCAGACTTCATTCAGTTAATTGAGCAATGTATTTCAACTCCAAACTTCTCGGTTTTAGTTAATGGAGGCCTAGTAGGGAGAATTTCAGGACAAAGAGGCCCAAGGCAAGGAGATGCAATTTCTCTGTTTCTCTTCATTATATGCACTGAAGTACTATCAAGACTGTTAACAAGAGAGGCCATGTCAGGACACTTAAAAGGAATTAAAATTGCCAGGAATTGTGAACCACTAACCCATTTTATGTTTGCAGATGATCTTCTTATTTTTGGCAAAGCAGATCCACACGAGGCTGAAGTTATTTCTAAATGTCTTTTAACTTATGAAGAATGGTCGGGGCAACTCATCAACAAGGATAAATCCTTAATTTTCTATAGCAGAAATGCCTCAAGGTAGACCATCAAATCAGTAAAGGCCATTCTGGAGCTAAAAAAAGGAAACAAGGGAAGTCAATTATCTAGGTCTACCACTGTTAATGGGAAGATCCAAGAAGCAAGCATTCCAACCAATCATTGAAAAGCTGGACAAGAAACTTCAAGGATGGAAGTCAAAGCTCCTCTCCTTCGCTGAAAGAGCCTCATTAATCAAATCTACTGCTCTAGCTCTCCCAACATATGCCATGCAATCATTTCTCCTCCCAAATGCTACTTGTGAATCCATTGATAGGAAGATTATAGCTTTCTGGTGGGGTCATTCCGAAGGAAAAAAGTTAATGTGCATCATATTGTGGGACTTTATATGCAGACCAAGAGAGGTGGGAGGACTGGGGGTTTAGGAAAATGAAAGACAACAACAAGGCTCTGATGGCTAAACTAGGATGGCAACTACTGGCACAGAAGCAAAAGTTTTGGGTCTCTCAGTTGGAAAAGAAAAAGAAATATTGCTCAAGGCACTCCTTCTTTCGAGTTGACAAGCAGCCCACTGATTCTCAAATTTGGAAACAAATCCTGGAATGTAGATCCATTATTGAAAAGGAAGCATGCTATATTGTGGAGAAAGGACACAAAATCAACATCTGGACTGACCCTTGGATCCCTAACCTCTCAAACTTCAAGCCACAATTGCTCCATAATACCCATCCCATCCCTAATACAGTCGATGAACTCATTATCCCAGAAACAAACTCATGGAACACCCAACTAATACAGAGGCTCTTCTGTAATGATACTGCACAAGCCATTCTAAATATCGAACTGCCAATGTTCCCAGAAGATGATCACATGGCTTAGATCCTTGACAGTACAGGAGAATTCAGTTCTAAGTCTGCATACTCCACGTACAGAGATTCACTCGATTCCCACTGCTGCTACCTTAGTACTTCTGATTGGAACAAATTTTGGAAAACTCGGATTCACCCAAGGCTCAAGATTAACTTATGGAGAGCCATTACAGAAAGCCTACCCTCAAAAGCAACACTCTCTTCTAGAATTGCAGTCTCAAACCCATTATGCCCTATGTGTAACCAAGCTGTGGAGACTGAATCTCATCCATTCTTTAACTGTGATACAGCACAGCACGACTAATTTGGTTCCAGATTTGGGGATTCAGGATGGAGCCTTTCTCCCACTTCACTCTTCAAGATTGGATTCATAACATCCTAAATTCCACTCTGCCTTTCGGTTTAAATGCCCCAAACTTCAGTAAGCTACTGTTATTTGCTGCAGTTCTCATTACAACGGTGTGGAAATGAAGGAATATGATCTGTCACAGAGATGCCAAGCCCAACCTGATGACTATTCTTAATGAAGTTTCAAATGCATTCAATGAACACAATCAAGTAAGAATCCACTCTCCAATCACTACAAAGGAGGCAACAAGGAATCATGCAAGAAAAGGATGGTCTAGGTCCCTGGACGGGGAAATTAAAATCAATGTGGATGCAGCTATGGGGGAAGAGGATTTTTATATCTCAGCAATTGCTAGGAATGGGCAAGGTCAAGTCATGGAGGCATATGTTAAGGCAGTAAAGGAGGAAAACCCCTTGGTAGCAGAAGCTTTTGCAGTTAGAGAGGCAGCAATGTGGGCGCATAAGAAAAAATGGAATTATGTAATGATAGAAAGTGATCCTCGAGTATCTGTGTTAGCTGCAACAAATCATTGTTTTAAAATCCCATGGTCTATTGAGACTGCCACAAAGGATACGAAGAAATTGCTGGAGCACCACTAGGAATGGAGATCGACACACGTGTATAGAGAGGACAATGAAGCTGCACATGCCCTTGCAAAATGGGGACTCCACAAAAAGGGAAGGGATTATTCTTCTAGACCACCTTCCGCAGGTAGTCAAAAGAATTGTGCTTAAGGAGCAAGAGGCCAATTCACACAGCACACAGGAGGTCGCTTGGACAGTACATTAGTTCAATGCTTTTCTTTCTTTTTTAGATTAAGTAGTTAATAGGCTTTACTCGATCGTAGAATTACTTGTAAGTACGTTTATCTTTTATCTCCTTTATCTCTATTTACATGAGCCAAAAAAAAAAAGTTATACACTTGGAACCACCTTGATGTGTGATCTCATCTGCTGAGATGGAAATCAGCAAATGGCTCCATAACAGAACTACAATGATGTGCTGTGTTGTGCGTGTTCGTCTGGAATTCAAGTTATTTCGAGAGGAATCTGCACCTATAGGCAGCCAGATCCTACTGCAATAACCTAATGCCAGGGCATTTTGTAGTTGGTCATGCTGGCCATTTTGTGGTATGGCTGTCCCACTTTGGGACCACATTTAAGACTTTGCAGTTGACAAAAGAGTGAAAACTTTGCTCTCGGCAGGTTGTTTTGTGTGTAGTTACATAAAATCCGAGAGTACAAAAAATTGGGAAGCAAATAAAATACAATACACAAGTGTAATTTCCTCAGAAGAGGCATCAGAACACAAACTGTAACAATCATCACCACCCACACACGACATGAGCTATTCACACATTTGTTTTGAAATGCAGAAAAAACCTTGTAATAGAAGGTTTGTTAACTGAAGCAGCCCAGCTCGAACCTACTCAGCAATCATCACCAACAGAACCACGATTGATAATATAATACAGATACACACATGGCAGACTGGGCACACATGCACAATTGTTTCAAAAATGCAGAAAAACCTTATAAATGGCTTGGGTGATGCTGAGTTGATGCCTGAAGCAGCCCGTCTCGAACCTGCTCGACCACGTCACGAACAGCACCAGGACCATGAGGGATAAATACAGCTGAGGATTTGGATGTAGCACCAATTTCCTTCATAGTGTCGAAATACTGAGTGATCAGAACCATGTCCAAGACATCCTTGGCTGTGGTCCCTGGTACATTGACTGAGAAGCCAAGCACACTGTCTCTTAGACCATCCACAATCGCTTGGCGCTGCCTAGCGATACCCAATCCTGCCAGGTACTTTGCCTCAGCATCGCCTTCAGCTCGCTTAATCTGAACAATTTTCTCAGCTTCTGCTTTCTCATTGGCTGCTAGCCTCAACCTTGCAGCTGCCACAATTTTGTCACACAGAATGATTAACACACAGGATCTTGCAGAGCTGGGTACAAAGAAAAGGAGCTAGGATTTATTTTGAGTGGTTTATGTGATATCAGTTTCACCTCAATATTAATATATTTTGTAATAATCAAAGATTCATCAATAATCATTTCCAACTTATAGAAACAGGTATATCACGAAATTACAACAACGTATACCTAAAAGAATGACACAGAAAAAAGTATAAATACAAATGTGACAATTAGCAATATATGGTACCACGATGGCAAAAATAACCATTGAAAGAGCTCTTAGCAATTACAGATTTGAAGAAATGTATCTGATTCAATCTATTAGAATCCAATTTATTGGATTAGATATTGGTTGTTAAATTTTTCTTCAATTTAGTTGAAGAAAGAGAGATGCCATTATCACCAAAGTGCAAGAATTTCAAATATCTAGTCTCTTTCTAATCACACACACACACTGATATTTGTACAACTTAATATACCATTTGCGTACTTCAATGTTTTGCATGTAGTTCACACTTGTCATGTTGATGTATTGATTCTTTGACGTTTGCACTTCAATTGCTTTTATCATGGTTAACACATGAGAGCATTAGACAGCAAATCAAAGGTCAACACTCAATGAAAATAGTAGGATAGAATAGATACAGAATGACTTGCGTTCAATTTTTTGGGGTTTTCAAGACTGAGCCATGGTCTTCCATAAGGATTTTTCCAAATTTCTACTGGGGTTAAAATACAAAACCCCACAGTTTCAAAATTTAAACCAAAATGTGGCTTAGCCATTGACCCACATGATCTAGACCCCAAGCTATAATGCACTCAGCCAAACATATGAAACTGGGGTCTCTTTTTGCCATGAAAATGAAGTCTTTTTTGATACGGAAACGGATCAACAAATGAGAAATGTGGGAGGGAGTTGGATGATACTTAAATTTCATTCGGAATTGCAATTACAATCAGCCCTATATTATGATTGCATACAAATGCATGATGCAGCCAATGATCCAATGGGGGCATCTGTGTGGTAACCATAGACAAGTATGCATTGAAATGGGACATAAATATGTCCCTTACCTAACCAAACTAATCCTTGGAGCTGTCTAAGTGAATCCCTCAAGGAATTTGATGGTAGGTAATACCTAATAGCTCTTTTAAAAACAGTAATGATGGTGGATTTCTTACCTGCATTAATTTCATTCATGGCCCGCTTCACATGCTCATCGGGTTCTATGTCAACAATGAGTGTTTGAACAATCTCATACCCATAAGCAGACATAGCCTGTAACATATGAAGAAAGAACATATTAAATCAAGTTAATGATTTCATGTCTATGTATCGCATAATTTGTTAGCTAACGAAACAATTACCTTTTCAAGTTCATCTTCAACTGCTTTCGCAATTTCATTCTTTTGCTCAAAAACATCATCTAGGAGCAGCTTTGGGACACTTGCTCTTATCACTGAGAAATTGAAATAGATTAGTATGAATAGTAGTACCAATAAATAACAAAACTACAATTGTCTATCTTTTAATTTAAGTACCAGAGGATGATGAAAGAGAAGCTTTCATAAATTTGATTTAAGGCCTTTTGTATCATACCATCAAAAACATAAGCTTGGATTTGTGTTCTAGTATTGCTAAGTCTGTAGAATGCATCACTTGCTCTATCAGCCAGGGCACGGTATTGTATTGAGGCAACGACAGTGACAAAAACGTTATCCTGCAGAACAAATAGACAGTAGCACAAATCATATCAGAGTCCTGATCACATCTTTTATACAACTTTATCTGAAGATAGTATGTATATGTTAAAATATAAGATCGTAAAGTAGAAAGGCATTGTCCTTCCGTTTGCCAGAGACCAAAATGGTTAGTTTAATGATATTTGGTGCAGTGAACAATTCGCTAACGGGAGAGAAAAGGCGCATTACAGGCAGGAGAAAGAGATGTTTTAGTAGGTCTTCCATAGGGTCAAAAGTTTAAAAAGAATAATTAAGCTGATGGCTCTGTTCTAAGCTAATGGGTTGGGTCTTGCATATCCTCTTTATTAGTCCAACAGTGAAAACATGAAGTTCCTAAATGAGCAAACTTGCACAGAAGCAACGTAGTTTAATTTGAGCAGTCCACTACATCATAAAAATTCAGATATAATCAAGTACATTAAATTTGTTCCCTTGCGCACGTTGTGAAATATAGGGGTGCAACTTGGATTGGGCAATCCAATTTCAACCCGAGCCCAACCCGAAAAAATTACGATTTAGGCAAAGGTTTTTAATACTAGGGTTAGACTTGAGTCAAAAAATCCTAACCCGAATTCAATTTGGGTTGGGCTCGGGTTAAGGTCTCGTGAACCCGAGTTCAACCCGAACCCGACAAATTAAAAAAAAAATTATATATATAAAGCATTAGCACTGGTTTTTTATTTTTGTTCTATCGTTCTCTTTGTCTCTCTCGTTAAAAACTTGGTTGAAGTTATTGGTTGTCAATTTAGGTGAATATTATGTAATATATATATTAAGTTTAGAACAACAAGCCTATTTTAGACTCTACCCAAATTGAACCCGTAAAGTAACTCGAAATCAGCCCGAAATCATCAACCCGAGCCCGTCCGAATTAAACTAGGGCAGTGCTCGGGTTGAGTTCCCTAACCCAAGGTAGGGTTAGGGTTGGCGTTAAGGTTAAAGTTGAAGATTATATATCTAGGGTTGGACTAGGGTTGATTGTCCAACCTGCCCGAGTTGCACCCCTAGTGAAATATGATAAATGTTTCACCGATCCTTCATGCACAAGTTAGCAGAAAAGGGTGTAAGAAAAATCTGAATCTGGAGAGGAAAAGAAGAATTCCCTAGTAAATTATAAAAGCAACAAGAAAGCATGCTGACTAAGAAAACATCATTGCTAGAGAACAGTGGAGAACAGACAAACCTTAGTCTTGGTCTCACATCGCACATCCAACTGCTGCAACCTGAGTGAGAGATGGCCAGAAACCTGGCTTCCAAGACACCAAGGCAGGAAATGACATCCTGGGTCAAGTACATCTTCAAACTTTCCAAATCTCTCCTTGATAGCAACGGTGGATTGGTCCACTTGTACACAGCACAATAGATTACCCATTCTCTTTATCTTTTTTACATCAAAAAGAACCAATTACAAAAAAGATCTATCAAAAAACAAAGGAATTCAGATATATTCTGTTTACATGTAATCTAAACTGGCAAAGTTTACTCTAGAACATGTACCGGGATATTCAAATTTAAGAACTTCTGTAAGACCATCACCCTAAATCCAAAATAACTCAACAATATTTTCAATTGATTTGGTTGTCTTTTCATGCAAATCAATTCACCAAGTTACCAAAGACCAAGTGTACTACTGGTTAATCCTAAATCTAAATTAGAATGGGGTGATGAATTTTTTAGAACCTTTTTTTGGGTTGCTTAAAGCTGGTGTTAAGTCAAGCTTACATGTGGAGATATTCTTATTATTGAGCGAGCAACCTTATTCTCACCTATTACTCTCCATTTACAAATTGTTTTTAAATAAAAAGAGGGAGAATATAGACAAAATTTTGGAAGAAAAAAAAAAGCTACTATTCTTAGAAACAATAGAAGCAAAAAGCCATTGAGGTTTCGAACTGCAGTAGATGTCCCATAAATTCATCAGCAAAAACAGAGTAAAAAGGATTTTTAAACACAGTTTCTGATAAAACGAGAAAGATAACAGGACGATACAAAGAATATATTTTAATGTTACCCAAAAATATGTTAAGTCGAAAATATCTAAAAGCAAATGTGATTCATCGGATATGAAACAGTAAACCCTACCGGAAATCTTTACAATTCTGCCATTTATAGTTACAATCACAATAATCCTATTAGAAGAGATTTAAATTTAATTCAATCATGAGTTGAAATTGAACAAAGAAGCAAAAAAGATCAACAACACCTTACTATAGTCCTGGAAGCAAATTATGATATAATGTGGCTCATCATATTTTCTATCAAGAATTCGTTAATCGGAAGAACACAAACACAAGGCCTATAATTATAACACATGGCAGATATAGCACTTCAGACCAAGTAATTTGAACAAACACGGGTAGAAATTGCAGGAATTGGAAACAAAGAGGCCCCCAACTTTATCAAACAGTGCCCAAGAAAGAACTACAAGTCATCCACACACGCAGAGAGAGAGAGAGAGAGAGAGAGAGAGAGTACCTAAAAGGGGCAAAGATTAGATCAGAAGAATCGAAAATGCTACGGCAGAGGTGGGTGTTTGACTTTAAAGCTACCTGTGTATTCCACGAGTTTTTTCACTGATATTTTGTTGGGACGGCCGACTCTGCACCGGTTGAACACTGGTGATAATTAACAGTGACATATTTGTGATTATTGGTAAGAGTATGTAACCAACTCTAATTCTGTTTTTGTCGGAGTCGGAGTCGGAGTTAAAATGTGTATTAAAAAAACTCTGATTCCGATTTTATTAATAATACTATATAAATTATAAATTTCTTCTTATTATTATTATATCAAAAAGATCATTTCTAATAGAAATTTAAATTATTACCTAAATTTGAATTTAAAAAGGGGATAAAAAACTTACTTTGGTATAGATTATTTCAATAAAAAAATTTAAATTTAAAACAGGACAAACTTAAATTTAAATGAGGATAAAAAGTAATGTTATTTGAATTTAAAAATTTGATATAATTTGTTAACTTGATTTATTAAAACCTTTGAATTGACTGTGAACTCTATAAAATATTAGAATTTACTCTTGATTTAATGATTTTAATGAAAACACATCATCGTGTTAGATTTTTAAGTGTAAATAACATTGTTTATTGAGAAAATATGACTATTGAATTTTTAAAAGAGTATAAACTCTCAATATTAAAGATTTGGATATAGATTTAAATTTAAATTTAGGTAAAAAAACTCTTAAATGCCTTTTTCAATACTTAAACTCATACACATTAAATGAAGGGAGACTCATTTTTTTTATTCAAATCAAAGGATACTCAAATCCATTCCAAAAATTTTAATCATATTTTATCCTCTTTCAAATTTGAGTTTGTCCTCATTTAAATTTGAATTTCTCTTTCTTTAAATTTTAGTCTTTTCATTGAAGAGGTCTATCTATATCAAATTAAACTTTTTACCCTTTTTTTAACTCAAATTTGGGTTTTCATTTGATATAATCCAATTCTAGTCTAATTTTTGACCCTATATCCACATATTTCAAGGACTTTCGAAATTGACCATTGAACCCTAAATCCCCAATTCAAAAAATTTATTTGTGTTTGAATTTGAATCTCAAAACTACTATATTTTTGTTTGAATTTTAGAGAATCTTTGATGACATTTTTAAAATTTTTGGGAATTGTGTTCACTTTTGAAACTCCACTCCGACTCCAATTGGCAGAAGCCGAGGCGAAGGCAGTGGTAATGTATTGCATGAGTCAGAGTTGGAGGGGAAATGCACTCCGACTGAAGTCAGAAATGGGATTTATGCTTTCCAAAATCATAGGTCGACACAATCATATATATATATGTGTGTGTGTGTGTGTGTGTAATAACAGACCAGGAACTGAATCCAACTGTAAATCCACCCTTGCCTAAGCTAGAATTACTGGACTAGTATGGAGCAAAGTTCAAACTAAAATTCAATTATTGTTGAGGACTTGGTCCAAGATCAATAGCATATTATAAACATCTGGCAACGTTACATCAATACAACAGCTTTAACAAAGAACAAGCCGGCTCGCTTCGCTACAGCCACATAGGACTTTTCTGCATTATTAATAATAATGCTTTCTTCCATTTATGCACTTGTAGATCCAGGCCGGATCAACAAAAAATTTGGACTTTAAACTTCCAAATTTTTAGATATCATAAATAATTTCTATGAAAAAAATTAAATTCATAAATACTTTAAATCTTACAAAAAGGTCTTACAAAAACACAAGCACAATCTTAAAAAAAAAAAAAAAAAAAAATTAAGGGAAGGCCCCATAATTTATAAGTGTGTAATAATAGTTCAAATTAAAAATTTAAATCTATGTCCAAACAAAAGATTTCACTTAAGTAAATTAGACTTATTAATTCAGCTGTAGAATTAGAAAGCTCTAAAATTTATTTTTATAATAACAAAAATTACATTAAAATTACTAAAAAAATCTAATCTTAACCCCAAAAAATCAAGTTTAAATTTACCATCAAATTTTTTTAATTATTCTTTCTCTTTTTTACCATCAAGTTCATATATAATAACAAAAGCTTTAATATAAAATTTAATTAATATTTTTGTATTAAAAAAATTAAAAATTAGATTTACTATTAATATCAAAAATAAAAATACCTCAATTATCGCTTTCCATTTAGGCCCTAAATTATCTTGACTCGCCCCTGTGTAGGTCTTGAATATTTCAAAAACATAGAGATCAAACATTGTTTAAGATGAATCGTTTGTAACGTCTCCGCCCTATATTTGAAAAAAAAAAATTGTTTTGCCAATAGTCATTGTTTCAAAACGCGTCTTGTTGGTGAAAACAACACCCTTCATTTTTTATGGTACACTAATTTTAAAAAATTTGTAATGGTAATGATAAATGAAACTAAGGGATTGTTTAGTAACGTTTTTGTTTTCGTATTTTCAAAAAAATAAAAAACAGAGATAATTTTTTGTTTTTGTTTTTTGGTAAATACTGAAACAAAAAATATATTTGGGAGTCATTTGTATTTATCAAATTATGAGAATAAAAATAAAAAACATGTTTGGTAATTATTTCAAGTTTTATCCTTAAGTTTCGTATTTTTTCTTTCAACAATGATATTGAGACTTTCAACAATGATATTGAGACTTAACAAATTAAATTAATTTGATAAATTAATGATATGGTCAACAATCCTAAATGGCAATTCAATCAATTCTAAATAGCAATTCAACAATTTCAAACAACAATTCAATTAATACCAAATGTCAATCAATCCCAAACACAACACACACATAAACAAACCAACGGTAAGAGCCTTGATCAAACCAACCCTTCAGCCTTTGAAGTTGTTGAACACTTTCTCTACAGTCCTCGATATCGGATGTGGTATCGCCTTCATTTTCTCATCTTTTCTCTTATCTTCTCAGATATAAGCCACAAATATATGTAGGAAGATGAATTAGAACAAAACCCACAAAATCTAGTGCTGCTCACGTAGCATTAAGGGAGAAATGCTTAATTAGGTTTTATGAAAAAACTAGGGTTTCTTCTTCATGATGCCAAATTACATATGGACATAGTTATATACGCATATGTGTGTGTGAATTAAGTGTAATTAGGGAAAATTTAAGGAGGAAGAGAGAGAAAATATGAGAGACTAGAACTAGATTGACGGGGTTTCACATAGAACATCTTCTAGAGAGAGAGAGAGGGAAAGAGCTTCTTCGACTACCACATGCTCATTCGTCTTCCACAAGGAGCACAAAGAATACAGAGAACACAATAGAGAGAGTGAGACAACGATGGAGGCAGAGGCAGAGGTGGAGGTAGCGGTAGCGATAGAGGTGTAGGATGGTTTGATAGAGAGAAAGGAGAGAGGAGAGAAAAACGTTGGGTAGGAAAGAAGTGATAAAATGAGTTTTTATATTTCAATAAAAAAAGACTTTATTTTGCTGTTAAGAGGACTCGAAGTCTGAATTTCATTAATTTCCCACTCTTTTGCACGTGTTGTCCTTGTTTACAGTGTTTCTTGGAATTTTTTTTTTGTTTTCATTTTTTTGGCTTGATTTCAAAATAACTAAGATGAAACAAAAAATAAAAATAATTACCAAACACATTTTTGTTTTAATTTTTGACAAATATTGAAAACAAAAACACAAAATAAGAGACAAAAACACCAAACAAACAACTCCATAAGTATTTAGATTAGGCACCCCCATCTTATTTTAACCTATCTCAAACATGTTGGTCCTCGGCCTCGAAAGTCTCCATATATTAATCTCTTGGCTCCCATAGGCTTATAATATATGGAGTAGTCTATGTTACTGAAAAATAAATTTTTGGTACTATACTAATTTTTACAATATTTTTGAGTATTTTTATTATTATTGTGGTACTTTAAAAAATAATAAAAATATTTATTACATCATTAATAAAAATACCCACAACAGTGATGATTGATGCGTGACTAGATGCATTAACAATTTTTTGATAGATATTTGGAATTGGACCACATACATACAAATTAAGAATCTTATATATCAAATAGACAAGATTAAAAAATTAGAGACCAAACAAACAATATATGCTTACTTTGGGGACTAAAAGTCCTGGCTTTTGACTAGTGATGACTATAACTCTAATGCCAAGGGCATTATTATTATCTCATATTGGAAAGCAAAATGAAGTCACCCTTACATTTTGTATTATGGAAGTAGACGGAAATTCTACTCTGGACCGGGCCCACTATTCGAGTTGGGCCTTGTTTGGGTTCATCATTTGTTCCCATGCGCCGAGTCCAATAAGATTTGGAGGAGAGGACATTAGTTGAACTTGAATTTTGGTTGACGAGAACTTCTTGATTGATGACCTTTTCCTTTTTGGTATAACTTGTCCCTCTAAATCATCCCCCTCTGATTAGGAGTGGTGGGCCTTCAAACACGGGCCAACTATTCAAGTTGGGCCTTGAGCTGGACCCATCAATTTCAATCACTATTACGGTTAATGCGGTGATACTTCGTGTTAATAATGTAATATTCATGCGTATTAAATACTTTCTAATTGGATTTGGGTAAGGGCAAGCATTGAGCAAGGCCAAACACGGCCCTTGCTGTCCCAACTTTCCAATTTTGCTATTGAGCCCATGCGGCCTGTTAGAAATTCAGACATTCGGGGAACCAAAGCCCAGCCCATGATCACTTAGGTCCAATGTGGAATAATTTCTTACGGGGACTAATTAAAAAAAAAGAAAAAGGAAAAATGTAAGAGAAATTGAAAACCCTAACGACCGATCGGTTCTAACCAACTGCACTCACAGTCATCAATTTTTGTGTTCGAGAGAACAGGGTGAGAGGTTTCTCTGAGCAAAGAAAGGAGAAGAAGAAGGGGAGAGAGAGAGAGAGATGGGGAAGATAACTTACAGGAGGCTGAAGGGAAGCCAGAACTTCAGGCTACGTCTCCTATTGTCTACACTCTCTTCCAATCCGGTTCTCATCGACGACATCCGCGCCGACGCCACGTGGCCCGGCCTCCGTCCCCAGGAGGTCTCCTTTCTCCGCCTCCTCGAGAAGGTTAGCGATGACTGCGGCGTCGAAATCAACGAAACTGGTATATATATGAGTGCCACCCTTTTAATTGGGTTCGTTTGTGTGTTGTTGATTAAGGGTTTAGGGTTTTAGGTATTTGCGATTGATGTTAATTGGATTGTTTGTGTGGGACAGGAACGAAATTGAAGTACAAGCCAGGGATTGTGATGGGTGGGAAAAATCTCTCTCACGACTGTGGTCTGAGTCGGTCCATTGGCTATTTCTTGGAACCATTGATTGTGCTTGGATTGTTTGGGAAGAAACCACTTTCCATTAGGCTTAAAGGTACCCCTTTTTTTATTCTTCCTCCTTTCCTCTCCTAAATTATCCAATTGTGTTTTGCTTTGTCAACTGTTTCCTCCATATTTATGAAAATGCAAGTGTTAGTTTACTTATCCCGAGACCTCCTGGCATACTTAGTATGCTTCTCATATGGGTGTTTGTTAATACAATCCTTTGTATATCGTTCTTTTTTTTTCAAAAATTATTTAGGCACTTAAAAAATATTGAAAGAATGGATAGGGCTTTTCCTGCTGATTGTTTGTTCTTGCGAAGAAGTTGCACCAATTAATGTTATTTCATTACAAAATTATTTCAGGATATCATTAATAGCCATCTGAATTGCATGCCCGGGTTTTAGGGACTGCTCAGCCATTCTATACATTTTCCTGATACATGGCTGCCCTGATAATTGATTTGCAATCGCCTTAAAAAGCACTTCATTGCTTTTATCAGGGCATGAATAACTTCTGCTGGTAATTTTACCTCAACTGTAACATGGCTAAAATCTCGGTAGAGCTGTATGTGACACCATTTCAAGTGGCCATAATTGTAACTTTTCACTAGAGCTGCCCATTGTGGTTCGATGTATCTGAGATTCACAGTGCAATGTAGGAAAATGCTTGAAGAGAGTGAGGAAGGGGGGGAGTTGAAAGTGTGTGGAAGATGTGTGGCTTTGCAAAGACAATTGTTCAAGAGTGGCATTGAATATATTTGCAATTTGTGAAACATAAATTTCAAAATAATATAATTGGGAAATTGGGTGCAATGTTAAATCGCTGCATGTGAAGTGTTATTTCTGATGCTTATGGATGATGAAAAGGCTTTGTGGAGCTATATCATATCCAGATGCTGAAAAAAAAAAAATATGCAGATGTTGAATATGAGAGCTGAATTTATTATTGCTTTGTGGAGGGTATTTGTGAATTGAGATATGAGTTTTGTAAGCTGATATTAATCAACTTATTAAAGATTAAGAAAAAATATTGTTAAAATGGATCATCAGTCCGTCCTGTAAATTGTAAATGATTATTATAATCTAAGCTTGTCCCCAGACTCTTAAAATTCAGGCCCTTTATATAGATGACTCTGTCACTTCCATCGTTACAGATGCCAACAAACTGGTTGTAGAAACATTAGTCTTACACATTTTAGCAGCGCACTATCCATGTCTCTATCTTTTGTAATTTGCACATTTTCGTATAGAATATGAATCCATGCTACATGAGTCTAGAGTGTAGCCTGAAATGGTATACTGTTTCTTTCAGGTATTACAAATGATTCCAAGGACCCATCTGTCGATACATTTCGATCAACTACCTTACCCCTGCTGAAGCATTTCGGGATTCCGTCAGAAGGATTGGAGTTGAAAATCGAGAGTCGGGGTGTTGCTCCTAATGGTGGAGGAGAAGTAGTTCTGTCGGTTCCCATTGTCCCGAATAGTCTGAGAGTGAGTTTTGTCATCTTATGGTGGTTCATCAATATTATCGTGTTTCTCTTATATGTTTTACCATACAGGCACTGACCTGGATTGATGAGGGACTGGTGAAGAGAATCAGAGGAATTACTTTTTCAACCAGAGTGACTGTTCAGTTTGAAAATACCATGATACATGCAGCTCGTGGAATCTTTAATCGCTTGCTTCCAGATGTTCACATATTCACTGATCATAAAGCTGGTGCACAAGCTGGAAAGTATGCTTAGATTTGATTTTTATATCTATCTAATGGTAGTTCCCTTCTGGGGAATATACCTAAGGATTTTTTAAAAATAATTTTGAAATCCTGTTGTTGAAAATGTAAGGTTCATTGGTCTCATCTGGAGATTTGACTTTTTTATGACAGGTCACCTGGTTATGGAATTTCCCTGGTTGCTGAGACTACTTCTGGTTGCTTCATCTCTGCTGATACTGCAGTTTCATATGCACGAGGCGAGGGAGAGGATGAAATGGAGGATGAAGAGAAGAAAGAGTTAATACCTCCTGAAGATATTGGCAAGCAAATTGCTTCTGTGCTACTTGGAGAGATTGAACAGGGAGGAGTGGTTGATTCAACTCACCAGGTTTGTGTTCTAAATCCTGGTACCTTTACCATCCTCTCTACCATATTTTTTTATCTGGCCATCACTGTTCTTCTTACCTTTCTAAGGTCATCATAAAAAAATTCATGTATCTTGCTTTGTGAATTTCTACATCCTGTTTTATCTTTGTTTGTGAAAGGAGTTTGTTAACTAATATTAAATTGATTTTGACAATCTACATGGGCTTTCCTAATATAAATGGTGCTAGTATGCCCATTTGTCTTATTCGGATGATGGACATAGATGATTGGCTACTTTCTTAATGCTTTAAAATATGCAAAATAATTTCACTTGAAGGTGGACCCTTCAATGTCGTTACTCTTTACCGATTTATGCTATTGTTTAATAGGTATTTAATTTTTTTTTCGCCCAACAACTGAGACTCAATGATTTAGAATGGATATAAATTGTCTATATTGAATTATCAAATGTCTTTTCTTGGTAAGACTTTTTCTTAAAATCTATTTATATATATAAAACAAACAAATTAGAGTGAAGAAGGCATGGGAAGCCATCCCTCCCAATTTCTTATATTTTAGCGTTTTGGTTTTTTGAATCACCAAACTAAGGCTTCCTCCACTCATATTTCACCACTTGTCTTTTGTAACCATCAACAACTCCCCCAATGACTAACCTCTATTTTTCTAAATTTATTCAAACCAAATTATTTTTACAATCCAAGAACTTATTGTAAATTTTTATCTCACTCAATAATTTTTATCTCACTTCTTAAGAGATAAGGTGAAAGAAGAAAAGAATGGGCAAAAAAAAAAATCATAAAAAATGATGAAATATATATTTCCTTGCACGGATGGTGCCGGGCTGCTAGTTTAAGCTCAAACTAATCCGAGGATATTTCATATATCAAGGTGGTAAACTTTGCAGGCAAAGGAAAAATATGGTGATCACACTGACTAGTGTTAAGATCAATGTTTTAAAACCCCGCTCGGATATCAACCGGGTGAAGGGACCGAGTCAATGGGTCACTGGTTCAACCGTTAGGTCACTGGTCGAACCGGTAATATAATAAAAAATTAAAAAATAATTATAAAAAATAACATCAAACATATAAAGTTAAGTAGAGAAAAATTATCAAACATGTATCCAATTTCAATGTATTCAATATTTAATATAACTTGTAAAGTTAAGTAGAGAAAAATACCTCTATTGAAGTTCAAAGCTCCAAGTCTAAGTCCAACTCTTCGTCAATGTATCAATAATCAATCTAAGCATAATCCATGTAATTTGATTTTGCACTCTCTAAAGTTCAAGCTTCATATTCAAATTGTAGTAAGCAAGCTGCAAGACACATGAAAACAAAACAAAGCACATGAGCATAGCATAAAGACTCAAATAAACGAAACTGAAAATAAATTATCCAACAATTGCCTAGTTCCACTTGAAAATACAAATATTTCATAATGATTAATAAAAATTCCAAACAAGCCACAATTTCAATATCACAATTCATAATGCTCATACCGCAATAAACAATCCACAAATTCACAATTTTAAACAAATATAAAACACACAAATGAAAAGTACAATACCACAATCCATAAGTTACAAGTACGAAATCCCAAATATGAAATAACAATGTTCACAAAAGTAAAAGCCTGTCATAAAAATAATGCAATAGACATGTCTATTCATTCTCATTTTTCCAATGAGCGCTCCTACTCTATGAACTCCAATCCCTGCCAAACTCAGGAGGATTCTCAAATCCAGGACAATTGAAATTTTTAGCATTACTTGTAGTTGCATTGCTAGCACCTCCCTCATTACACTCCTCATTTCGAGGGTCCACAAGATCATCATCGTCATCATTCAAGTCAAAAACCAAAGTTTCATCTACATTATCTCCAAACAAACATTATTTATTGACTAATCAAAAACTAATTTAAAATAAATAATTGTGAAGGAATAAATTATCATTATTCGGGTTTGTTTGGATATTGCACGCAACTAGTTCACGACGAAAAGTTTTTAATTCATCCACCGTTAAAGTTGGAGGCTCATCCTCTAAAATCCATGAGGCATTATTTGTGAAATTTTCAAAGTCAATAGGATCATAATTTCTACCCCTCAAGTAATTCATATACACCATCATTTACAAGGTGAAAATTACACATGTAAATAAGCTAACCATAATTGTAGTAAAATGCTAATAAAAATTATGTACCTTTGTTGCAATCTGTAATTGTAGTGAACATAAACAAGGTCATTAAGCCTTTGATGCTCCAACCTATTTCTTTTCTTAGAATGGATGTGTTCAAATACACTCCAATTTCGTTTGCAACCGGAAGAACTGCATGTTTGGCTTAAGACACGAATGACTAATTTTTGTAAGTTTGGTGCGCTACTTCTATAGCACAACCACCACTCATCTGCATTTAATAATGTAATGCATCACTGTCAAATGTTAACAACAAAAGTGAAGTATATAACTTGAATTAGAATACTAAATATTTTAAATACCGGGAAGCATTCTCTCTCGATCGCTTATAGCAATTACTCGCCCAAAGTCTCTTTCAACATTTCTGAACAATTTCATCTCATTTGTCAACTTACTACTCAAATTGGGATTTCCATAAGCATATCTCTCAATTACATCCAAGAGCCCTGAAATCGTTTGTCTATGATTTGTCATCTCATCTGACTTATATTGATTACTTGGGTTCAACCAATAACCAGCAGCATGAAGATTTTTATGAAGTTGACGATCCCAACGACTATCAATGATTTTCAAGTAAACATCTACTCTTTTTCTCTTTCTCTGAAATTTTTTCAGCAATTTCTCTCTAGCTTTGTGCTTAGCCATATACAAGTAGCCCATTGAAGGCCTATCATCACTATCAACAAGGCGTAGCACGCGCACAAGAGGCTCTGTGCACATTCTTTCCAAAAATTAGAATCCAATACACTGTCATCGAATTTTCTTCCCTTGACATAGTCCATTCCCATGATACCACCATAGCTCGTAAGGCATCCTTTTGAGCTAAAATACTTTGCAATGCAATGAAATTGGTTGCAAACCGTGTAGGAGCAGGACGAAGTATTTCCCTTCCACCAGTGTGTTTCCTCGTCAAATGTAATGGAAAACAATGATTATATACATATTTTGTAATCTTTGAAGCCTGAGAGACAACATGGTTTACCTCATCCAACTTGCCAATGTTTTGTAGCATCAAATTCAAACAATGAGCTGTACATGGTGACCAAGATATTGTGCAAAACTCCTGCTCCAATAACCTTCCAGCAGCAACATAATTGGCAGCGTTGTCGGTCACTATGTGCACCACATTTTCTACACCAACTTGTAACACAACTTCCTTAAATAACTTATATAGCATATTTGCTGTTTTGGAAGCATCGGAAGCATCAACAGACTTTAAAAACACCGTTCTTCTAGGACAATAAACCAAGAAATTAATTAATGTTCTCCTACATTGATTTGTCCACCCATCAGCCATGATAGTACAACCAGTCTCTTTCCATGTGGTTTGAAAACTATGGACAAAATTTTTCACTTCTTCAACATTCTTGTTCAACAAATAACCACGCAAGTCATGAAGGTTAGGGCCCTTATAACCACCACCAAAACCAGTAATTGCATCTATCATAGGCTGATAATACATGGAATTCACGGCATTAAAGGGAATGCAAGCATCCATTATCCATTTAGAAACCGCAAGGTCACACCTCTCTTTTGCCTCCTTACTTTGCAAAATACTTTTGATAGTAGGTTGAGAACTGGTGGTAGTCCTTGGTACAAAGTAAGAGCCAATTGTTTTACCTTTACTTGCTACATCCTTGTTATGTATTGATTTATCATGACCTCCACCAATGGAAATGCCTTTTGCTTTATAAGAGGATGGAATTTCTTGAACATCATCATTTTCTTGCATATATTCCTGTTCTTCATAATTTCGAAACTCTGGTCCATATGGATTCACATCATAATGTTGTTGTGTCTTTCTTTTCTTGGTGACAGTACTTTCCAGAACCAATCTCATCTCATAAGTAACATTGGGAGGGCATCTAGTACATTGTTCTACTTCTCCTTTAATCCCCGCCAAATGTTGCTTGAATCTATTGATACCACCTCCCTTAATTACCTTGTGACAATACATACAAATCAAATTCTTTCCTCTTTTTGAAGACACAGAGTCTTCCTGACAATGTGCCCATGCAGGGTCAGCCTTTTCTCTTACTGCAACTTTTGTAAAAGAAGAATTTGGTGTAGCGCTAGTTGGAGTAGAGCTAGTGGGTGTAGATGAGATTCAATTGGTGTTCCGGATGAAGATATTCTGATATGACATCGAAAACCAAAAAGCCACAACTCACAAGTAATTAAACCCCACAAGTCACAACACAACGCACTAACTTTAAACTTTAAATTATAAACAAACATTCTAAGATACACAAAAAATAGATCAAATTTGATACCGATATGAATTTGAGTAGTGTGATACCAATAATAGCATAAACCAAGGAATTTAAGCCCAAATTGCAAGTGTATATCTATGGCACCTGTCAAAAAAATAAAAATAAAAAAGAAAACATTCAGCAAAATTTGAGAATGAGATAGAGAGTGTGAATAAAATGTCTAAGGCCAATCAATCTAGAAAATGTATATACATCCTTATTCATGCATATTATGACGACCTTCCCACAAAGGAATTAGAAAACAAGTAATGGCATATAGTACAACATTAGTGGGATCTCTTTATAATAATGCTATATTTAATTGGTGAAAACCTACAATGACCATATCTACCAATAGTACAGTACCTGTGGTGGGCATTTCCATTTCGAACATACTTTACAGTGCTATTTCTTGGTATTTCATTTCAATTGCCCTGTTTTATAACATACAAACTCTCACCACTCAAAGCACGGATGAATCAGTACACAAATCAGAATGCAGTAACAATGTTCACCACCTTTGTGAAATAAGAGTTAAGAACAGTTATTCAATTCAACCAAAAAAGTTGAGCATAATCTACCTTCCCATTCGATAACATAACCATACAATAGAGGATAATATATCTCTAATAAAATACGAATTGAAGAAAATTAAGACCAAATTCAAGCACTTTGTGATAATCAAACACAATCAGATTCACAAAGCAAATATTCAAAGAGTATAAAAATCGCACGCAACGAAGTCTGTTAAAGGACTTACAGTTAACTTAATGGAGTCACTGGACTGGAGGAGGTTAGGCGGTGGAGGCTAGGTGGTGGTCACTGGTAAGTCGTAGCTGATCGCTGCTGCAAGGTGGTGGTCAGTCGGTTGGTGCCTTGGTGGTGGCTGTGAACTGTGAAGTGCCGAAGTGGGGTGGTGGTCAATCGGTGTGCTGTGGCTGTGAATTGTGAAGTGCCGAAGTGGGGGTGGTGGTCAGTCGGTGACTGTTGTGGCTGTGAAGTGCCGAAGTGGAGTGGAATCGTGGATGGATCGATTTAGATTAGGGCAACTGGGCAACAAATAAAAGAAAGGAGAAAAAAAAACAAAAGGCCAAAAGGCAAAAGGGGATCTCAGATAAACCGTCCGGGTTTTATATACTTGTTCGGTTCTCACGGGTCACCGGTTTTTTGACCGGTTTGACGGGTCTCAGCCGGGTTCTATACACAAACGATTTTTTAATAGAACTGACCCGGTTCACCAGGTCTCCGGGTTGACCCGCCGGGCCGGGCCGGGTTTTAAAACACTGGTTAAGATGACCTATTCTGTATAAGATGCTTAGCACGCCTCAATTGTGGAAACTCCACAAAATTACCAGTAGGCAACTTTTACAACACGATGAAACCTTGTTGCGATTGCTGAATTTACTTTGAACTCTGACTTGATTTTCTTGATTGCAAATTAGACCAAAACCATATTCTGGAAATTCCGTGTTTAAAGCGCCTCTCAACCTTTCATTGCATTGCATGACTCTTATAGTCATTGATGCCATATTTGTTTTGCAGGGTTTGTTGTTTCTTCTTTGTGCATTATGCCCTCCAGATGTTTCAAAGGTTCGTGTGGGGAAGCTCTCGCCATATGGAATAGAAACACTTAGGCACATCAGAGACTTTTTGGATGTTAAATTTGACATCAAGCCTGATCCATCAACGGGAACTGTCATACTTAAGTGTGTTGGATGTGGGTTGAAGAATTTATCCAGAAAGATATCATGACAAACAATGGCACGAGTCAGAGAGTCTTTATACCAAAAGATAAGTTGCTTCTTAAATTAACTCATAATAAAGGATATCGTTTGTTAGTGGGTTGGCTTACTGGGATATGCAGTTGTTCTGGCATCAGGTGATCTGTTAGCTTCAAATTTCGGTTTTGTTCCTTGAGTTTTAATTTATCTAGAGGACTTTTTTCATCCCATCGTTTTTTTTTAGGAAAAACAAGGAGGAGATTAGGCATATTTTTTTTAGGGCGCTTGACATTTATTGGAATGCTTCAATTGATAGAGTTATCCACAAAGCACATTGATATGCTGTTCTGCCTTCAACGAGGTTACTTGGAAATAAAAAAAGAAAGGAATTTGATAAGATCATAAGACTTAGCACCTCCTCCCATATTGTGAAAATGTTCTAGGTTATGCGGTCAAAGACGATTCCAGTCAGATAGATTTTTATTTTTGCCAAATGAGTCAAAAATTACCCTGTACTCTATGTATCTTTTCTGGAACATCCTTTTTTTTGCATCAATAAACAATTAAAATTCAAACTGTATAAAAACTAGAGAATACAAACATCGAAAGTGATTCAAAATGAATTGTCAATAGCAAGTTCAAATAACCTAACATCTTAACATAAATTATTTTCCAAACATTAATCATTGTATTGTGTCATATAATCAATCTTAAATTGTTAAAGACAGGTTTACATAAGTTGATTTTCATACCTTCTGATATGTAGGCCAATGGCTGCATGTTTTTTTTGTTTTTTTGGGTCAATGGTTTGGGGTGTTCGAATCAGTTTATATTTACGCTGAGATTAAAATATTTACGATAAATAAATTTTTTATGGCTTAGTCTCAAAAGAATTATTAAACTTTGAACTTAAAACGTTTGAGTTTATGATTATTACTTGAGTTATCTTTAGGATTAAGGGCCCAATGTTCATATATGGGCTTGAGTCTTGTTTTTCTTTTCTTTAACTATCGATTAAAACGAGCTCCACGCCAATAATTTGTTTTACTTAGGTAGCGTTTGGTGCCATGAAGTTTATTTATTTATTTTATTTTTGCTAAAAAAAAAAATAATGCGTTTGAAATGTGTTTTCATTTTTTTTACTGTCCCGTTTTGAAAGCAAGGTCAAAATATGAAAACATAAAAATGATGTTTTTGAAAACATCAAAACAAAAAAAAAAAAGCGTGCTTCAATCCCACCTTTTATCGAGGTCTTACCATCGAATCTTGTTAATACCAAAAATCAGGACTTTTGATTGAAAGTATAAAAAGATATCTCTTCTATCTACTATTCCTCACCTAATTTTTCTCTCTATCGTCTTCTCTCTTTCATCTTCTTTGGTGGTGGTTGAATGACTGATGGTGGTGATTTTTCCTTGGTTTGGTGTTGGATAACTGGGTGGTGGGGGTTTGCTTGGTTTTGGGGTGGGGTTTTGGGGTGGGAGTGGGTTTTCGTGGTAGTGATGGGTTTATGGGTTACAAGGGGTTGTGGCCTTGTGGGGGTGGATTTCGGTGCTGGTGGGGTTGGGTGGTGGTGTATTTTGGGGGTAGGCGATGGGTTTCACATAGGGATTTTGGGGCTGGGTTTTCGATGATGGTGGTAGGGTTGGGTGGTGGGGGTGAATTTCAGTGGTGGTGGTGGGTTTCGGGGTTACAGGGAATTGTGAGTTTCGGTGGTGATGGTGGGAGTTTGGTGGTTGGGTGTTTGGTAGTGTTAGTTGGTTGGTGGTGGTGCTGGATGGTGAATTTTTGATATAATACTAAATATATTTTGTATTTTTGTTTTTTAAATTTTTTAAATATAAATGACTATCAAATATGTTTTATATTTTTAATTTTTATTAAAAATAAAATAAAAATTAATTTTGGTTTTTTTATAAAAAAATATAAAAACAAAATCGTTACAAAACACTGTTAATTGTTTACCAATTGATTGAACAAAGTGCGCTCCTCGTCTTTGATAACTAGTCCGTCAATAAAGTGGGGTCGGTGTCGAGACTTTCTTGGATGACAACCTGTTTTTCCACTTAATTGCCGAGAAATTTCAAAGCAACTTCCCAACCACGCCTTTTCTTCCCTGGTTCAAACGAAAGTGGTTGGAAAAAACCCATAAGCAAAACTTCACTCCATCTTACCTTCTGCGCAATTGCTTTGCTCTATATTTATAAACCCCCAAGCCAGGACATCAGTCCCCAAGTTTCATCATCCAAAGAAATCAAGCATTTTAGTGCTGCGAATGCCAAAGCATCGGAGAAACAGGGCAATTCCCATGGCTTACGCTTACAGGAGCCACAAAAGTGATGGTGAAGGCTCTAGCCCCTTGCTCTCAATGATTTACTACTTTTTCTTCTTGTCTAATGGCATCGCCGCAATATGCCGAGCATACGCCCACAACGATTATTACATGGTAGCTTTCATCGTTTTCGTTTACTTAGGTTCCTACTTGTTAGACTACTGTTGGTCATCGTTTCATCGGTTGCCTAGGCATGAGAAATCACTACGCAAAGACTTGTTGAAGTTTGCTGCGTGGCTTCTATATTCGGCTATCATGTTTGGATTTGTCTATCAGTTTGGACAATTGTTCTCCCGGGCTGCTGCGATGACTCTTTATGTCGTCTCAACCCTGTGCAGTGCAGTCCTTTTCTATGTCTACATGATCTATGAGGAGGATGATCAAAATGGACGTGGTTCTAAGAGAAGCAATGGTGAGAAATTCACATTTCCTCCAACGCATTTCGATTCTATTCTGGAGAGAGTATAATAAATGCATCATTATGAAGTAATTTTCCTCCTCGTGTCTTGGACGTATTGTTTCTCCCAACGAATAATATCCTTGTGTGGGTAAATTATTGTGAAAATTCTGATAAGTTTGTATTGGTATAGAAGCATAGTAATCATGTGAGAAAGTATTGATTTAGCACAATGAAAACCACTTAATGAAATATTTTTTTTTATTTTTTTGGGTTTAATGGTAAAATTGTTTGGATTAATTTATACACACGTCAATAATCAAAAAATTAATTAAGTAAAATGGAAACAATCTAATGAAGTATTGTTTACTGCTCTCCCTGTGTTTTCCCATTATTTCTTTTGATATGATGAAAAAGTGGAGGATGAAAAGTTAGAAGAATAGAAATTTAAAGGGATAAAAAAAATATTATGTTTGGTAAGGAAGGAAAGTAGAAAGGATGAAAAAGTGGATGAATTAATTTTTCTTCTAACTCACAAAAATCAATTCCTCTAAAATTGGAAGGAAAGTGGATGGAAAGTTAATTATTTGTGTTGAGATGTATCTTATTTGTCTATATATATTATGTATACATTAATTTTATAAAAAAAAAATGATAAAATATGTATATATATTTTAAAAAATTTTAAAAATTAATTTTAAAAACAATAAAAAAAATTAAATTAAAAAAAAATATTTTTTCTATTTTAACTAAGAATGAAAATTTTAAACTCAACATGAGGACACGACTCGAATTCGATACGAAAATAAACAGGTCAACTCGCAGCTCGACACAACATAGTTAGTTAAATTATGTTTGACTAATATTCAACACAAACTTGTAATAATTAAACACGAATCTGACACGACACGACTCGACTCGATTGTCACCCCTAATTTTAGTTTGCACAAAAAAAAAAAATAATTATTTTTATTTTTTATCCATCCAACTAAACATAAAGGAAAGAAAGTGTATCTCTCCTACTTTTCATCCTTGAAGGATAGAAAATATATCTCTCCTACTTTTCATCCTTTCTATTTTTCATTTTCCCTACCAAACTGGGCATAAGTGTTTATCACTAATTGTTTTTAAAGAGATATGTTATTAAACTAATTCGACTTATGTGGCCGATTCAAAGTAGTTGATGCAAATTCAGACCGAAGAAAAAAAAAAAACTGCTCTCCTATGTATAGCTACCCCTTCTCCTTTGTGGAGATTCTTCACCTGGGCACCTTGCTCGTGCCCTTCCGGTGACTCCTTCACTCCCCAGATCATCCTCTTGCTCTCATCTCTTCTAGTACCATTCCCATAGCCAATTGCCATCTCAAAGCCGACAAGAACCACCACCACCGCGCTCAAAAACGTCCCACCATTCCACATACACAACTTCACCGACTCCACATAGATACAATTTCACACCTCCAAGAACCAGCAAAATCTGCAGTTCTTCACGTCTAACAACCCGAGAACGCCATAGATACATGCGACAAACAATTTCAACAACTCTAGGAAGATATCTTCCTTCCCTCTCTGCCCTCGCACGACTCTTTTGCGTTATTTATTTACCCGATTTTGCTGTGATGTCTTCTACACTAAACGCACGCCAACTGTTTGATAAAAGGGCCATGTGCTCTATACAGTAGCTTTTTAGCGATGGTTGCTGATGCACTGGACTAGTCATTGAACCAAGCCATCAAACGAGTCTCACCCTCTTACCTCAAGTTGATTATATTTCGCCGAGAAAGACCATCAAACAATTCCGGCTGAAAGGCGGCGCTTTTAAGGCCAATTTTGATCAAGAGTGGGATGGAGCAAAGTCTCGGCGGAAAGAATTGGGACGAAAGTCATCCACAGGACTTGTCATTAGAAGGCAAAGGTGACAGAATTAGAGTGCATTACTAGTCTCCTGTAATAGGAGGATTTTCCATTTCTATTTGTGTTTTATACTCTTACTCTTAGTTAGATATCATTTTTCATAGATCAGGTGTAGAAGTACTCTGCAGACCTTTGGGCATGTATTGAGCAACGTTGGTGCTCGATTATATCTCTTGTACCCTGTTTTCTCATAATTTCAATTTTTATTGAGCAAAAAAAAGAAAAAGGCTTAATGAAGCATTGTAATCATGGGAAAAAGAAGATAAAGACACTTGAGATCCATTTCCACCTGAAGTAAAATTCTCATGTGTGAGAAAGCTTTGCCACAACTGGAATAGGAAAAAACTTTCAGAATCTGGGAGGGAGAGCGATTTCTAGGGAAATGGAAAACTACAATGTTCCAAGGGCGAATTCTAAAGAAAGAATCTGAGAGGTAGTAATAAGAACGGAAGAGGTGATTTCAAATTAAGAGGAATACCACTAAAAACATTACAAGTGGAGATGCGGGGTATCGATCCCCGTGCCTCTCGCATGCTAAGCGAGCGCTCTACCATCTGAGCTACATCCCCAGTTGAAGTGTTTATTAGTATATAATATATATATATAAAATAAGGAAAAAGGGATTTTACCTATTTTAATCCAATTACTGAAATTATTCTTAATATTTATCACCTTCATATTTTATTATTAAACGATTAAGAGGTGATGTAACCATCACAGCTAATATTTTCTACCAAGTGGACAACTTTTTTTTGCAAGTCAAGGGTTATTTAAATTATTATTTTTACTTGTATTACGTGACAAGTTTATAATAAAAAATTATCAGAATATAAATGTTGTTTATTTGAGAAATTATATAGAAATATATTCATTGTTCGATATACTAAATAATGTAATTAAAATATTAGAGGCTAAAATAAGATAAAATCAATATTATGGAGACCTAAGTGCAATTAAGCCTAAAATATTATCTAAACTTGGTTTTTATTCGCACCCCGCTCTCTCAATGCACACACGCAGAGTAACTTTCATTTCGCCAATCCGTAGAAAATGCTGAGAAGAGTAGTGCTACAGGCTGCGACGCATCGTCGTCGTCGTCCCTTCTTACCTTCTTCAATATATGCATTTCGACAATGTTCAATTTCTGCCTCTTCTTCTTCTTCGTCAGAGTCATCTCAAAATTCAAACAGTTCTTTCGTCGAACACTTGGAGGGCCCAAACCAATCCACCGAAACCACTGCTCAATCCTCTACCACAATCTCTATCGACCGCTCTGGCTTATACAATCCCCCTGGTACTTTATCCCGTGTTCACTTCTTTCTGTATTGTCTCTGTGTCTATGTTTTGATTGAAATATTGCCTTTTGGATTACAGACCATTCTCACCAACCGTCGTCGGATTCTGAGCTTGTTAAGCATCTCAAAGGCATAATCAAGGTTTAGATTTTATTCTCGTTCTCTTTTGTCATAACTGTCATTTCTTCTTGATTGGGAGTTGTACAACTCTTGTCTGTGCAATTCGAAAGCGCGCACACAGGCAATTTGAACCTTTTTTGGTGGTGATTTCTCAGTTTCGAGGCGGGCCAATCTCAGTTGCTGAGTATATGGAGGAAGTTTTGACAAATCCGAAGGATGGTTTCTATATGAATCGGGATGTGTTTGGAGTAGCAGGCGATTTTATAACTTCTCCCGAAGTGAGCCAGATGTTTGGAGAGGTAATCTCATTGCTGCTCAATTGTTAACTGCGTAGGCCTCTTTACGATTTCGTTGAGTGGGGTCAAAAAATAAGAACTCTTGTATTTGCAGCATCGAGCATTTATTGGCTAAAATTTTGAACTTCACAAATTATGTTGCTTTGGTTCGCAATTCCTCGAAAGTTGCTAAAACTGCCAAATAATTTCTTAAATTTTGTTGATTTAATTCAGATGGTTGGTGTTTGGGTAATGTGTCTGTGGGAGCAAATGGGACAACCAAACAGAGTGAACTTAGTTGAGCTGGGTCCAGGAAGAGGAACTCTCATGGCTGATCTTCTACGTGTATGGTACCACAATTCTTGTCATATATGTCTCTTAAGATATCTTAGAGTATTTTACAGTTCATATAGATATGTTTGCCTCTTCTGTGCAGGGTGCATCGAAGATTAAGAAATTTACAGAATCACTTCACATACACATGGTTGAATGTAGTCCAACTTTACAGAAGCTCCAACATTGTAGCTTGAAGTGTACAGATAAGGATGATGCTGATGGAAATTTAGAGAAACAAATTATTAGCAAGTTGTCTGAGACTCCTGTATCATGGCATGCCACACTGGAGCAAGTTCCAACTGGAGGTAAGGAATTATCTTGAGCTTCGTTATAGTTAGAAACTTAGAAATGTGTTCTTTCTACCAGTAGATAGTGTTTTAAAGAAATGATCCTAAACAACATAGTCAACTGTCTTTAAAATCTTCGAGTTCAGTTTTGTATTTCAGTAAATATTTTAACAAGAGTTTTTTGTGGAACGTTAGTGAGATTTCTCTCCTTTTTGTCTAACAATATAGCTTTTTGTTGCCTTTTTTCAGTGCCGACAATTATTATTGCCCATGAGTTCTATGATGCCCTACCAGTTCATCAATTTCAGGTTCTCCTGGTCTCAATGAATGTTGTGTTTCCTGCTTTAATGTTAAAGTAATATTCTTGGTGGCTCTCAAACTATTCTTTTGTTTTTAGCTATAGGATATTATTTGATATTCAAAGAGAACCACATGTGCACCTCCACCTCCAATCCCACTTTCTGTGTTGAACTTTAAAATACATGGGGTGCTAGAAACGCAGCTCCAGCACAATCATCTACATATTCTCACTCACTTAGGATGCCTATTAGAGAACCTTAAGGATTGAACAACCATGAAAGAGACAAGTCTGATAATTTTCTTAGTTTGTTCCTTTTTTTCTCATAAAAATTAAAAAGTTAACCTTTGTAAGCATTTGTCATTTTTATTTGAACACTTGGATGGTTGTTCAAACAGAGACACCGGTAGATGGAAATATCTTGTCAACAGGTGTCTGACTCAGCAATTGTTACTGCATCATTTGCCAACATATCCTAGGAACCCTCATTATGCCCCTAGTTGTAATCTTGTCAGTGATTTTGAATGAGTGTAGTGTTGACAGATGTTTGATCCTTTTTTTCAGTTAAAAGGAGTCTCCTACATATCAGAGGATCTCTTTATCTCTCCCAACTTACAATGCCATCATCTGACCTTTGGACTCCCTACTGTGTGTAATTCAAGCCAATGAGTGTGAGAGCATTATACGTCTTGTTGTTTTTGCTCATATTATTCTCTAGACTTGAAGGAGTTTGGTGAGCTAATAGACCAAAGGATGACATCCTCAATTTCTGGTAGAAGGGAGCAAAAAGACCTGCAAAAATTAACGTGGAAGGTGACCAGCATAATATTGGTTAGTTAGATTAGCTGATGTAGGTGAGATAGTGGACCTATCATAATGTGTTGAAAGACATTATTCTGTAGTAATTCTAGTGTGCCTTTTAATGCAATCAATCTGTTAAGAATCTTGGGGTTTTTACTTTTTATCCTTCCGTAGGTATTACATATCGGAAAAGTTAGTTGTAATATCTGTTGATGAATGCTACTTTATCAGCCAAACGTTTTAGTCTGTAGTGTCGACTTCAACATCATTTGCTACCTTGGGAGAATCTCCATTCCCAAATATTTCCAATTTTTTAATATATTTCTTTATATCTGATAAGAAGTTTAAAAGGAGTTTATTTCTTTGCAAATTTCAAAAGTAAAAAAATAAAAAAGCTTCACCACCATTCTTCCTTGTAGTGGTATGCTAGTGGCTAATATCTTTTCTTTTTGCGCATTATTTTGATTTCTTGACCTGTCTGCAGAGAGCTTCTCGTGGCTGGTCTGAGAAAATGATTGATGTTGCAGAAGATTCATCGTGAGGCTTCAAATTCAGTCTCTGATTGTTTGTCTCATTGCAGGATTATCTTTTGTAGAAAGTTGGATTGTTTGATGATTTTGTTCTTGTATCCATTTTTCAGGTTTCGTTTTGTTTTATCTCCGCAGCCTACACCTGCATCTCTCTATATCATGAAGCGCTGCAAGTGGGCTGAGAGAGAAGAAATAGCAAAGCTTGATCACATTGAGGTTTGCCCAAAAGCAATGGACTTGACTCAAAATATTGCTAAGAGAATAAGTTCTGATGGCGGTGGGGCACTCATAATTGATTATGGTTTGAATGGAATAGTTTCAGATAGTCTTCAGGTTTGGTGCCTCCTGTTGTTGATTGTACTCCTCACGTGTTTTAGTAGATAATTAGAGGCCGACATTCTCTGGATGGAATTTTTCTGCTTTTGCTTTGGAAATTGAACTTTTGCTTATCTTACTATATACAATCCAGGACACACTATCGTTGGGGTCCAGTCATCGGTTTTTCCTTTTGGGTCCAAAATCTGTGCTTGTAAGCATTTAAGTAATTTGGTTTGTGCACACTTGTTTAATTTAGAACATTGAAACCCTGGTTATGAAGTATGCTGAAAAATAACACAATCTTGTACTTATGCCATCCAAGAAGCCTGGATACTTCTACAAAGAAGACATTATGTATTGTGTATTTTATCAGACAACCATATGTATTGGACATAGGTGTATGATACTCGATATATCCAAATTTGGAAAACATCTAATACGTCCTAATGCATCACTCTTTATAATGTTATATACTGTCTTGACTATAGAAAATGTTGTGTGAAATTGTATGTTTTTTCAGTTGCTAGCTACGAGTTTTGGACCCTTGACTCCTCCCTTCTCCTTCCTTAAGATACCATGTCAATATTTAACAAACTATGCTACAGCGGCTTTGGCCATTGTCTGTGAGTGTATATCATACCCCAACTATTTTTCGAATTCAAAGCCATCATGTCCCTGAGACTATAACTAGCTTTCCCTTAGCTTCTGTTTTCAATTGGATGTTCTCACCTTGTAGTACATTTTTGCAGGCAATTCAAAAACATGAGTTTGTTAACATACTGGACAATCCTGGCTCTGCTGATCTGAGTGCATATGTTGATTTTGAGGCAGTTAGGCACTCTGCGGAAGAAGTTTCAGGTGTGCATTCTTATGTGCTATTGTGTTAGTTTGTAGTAATTATGGAAAGGAAAAAAGAGGTACTGACAGGTACTAAAATAGAAAATGTGCAGTAGATTACATAAAATTGAATATTTTTGCAGAAGATGTGTGTGTTCATGGTCCAATCACTCAGTCTCAGTTTCTTGGTTCTCTTGGGATAAATTTTCGGGTTGAAGCATTGCTGCAGAGGTGCACAGAAGCACAAGCCGAGTCTCTGAGGACAGGCTACTGGCGTTTGGTGGGCGAAGGGGAGGCCCCATTTTGGGAGGGTCCTAATGAGCAGACACCCATTGGGATGGGTACTCGATATTTGGCAATGGCTATTGTGAACAAGAAGCAAGGCATTCCAGTTCCATTTCAATAAAAGCATTCAATAAGGTTTTATGTTGTAGTCATATGCAGAACACACACCTATTGTCCTACACGTCTCAACGACGGGTTCGTTGCGCAATTTCGGAAAATCTTTGTGAATGTTTTTGTCTTTGACAATCCTTATTGGGGTAATCATATCCATATTCTTTATACCTTTTTTGGGGGTTAAATAGAATTCTCTTACTAATGCTTGTTGCGCGATCATATGAAACGCTTCTCGCTGAATTTTCTGGTTTTTTGATGCATTGACAGGCCACAGTTGGCAATTTGGGTTGGGTTTTAAAGCATGGGCTCCTAACGGTTTGGGCTTTGAAGTTGTTGACCAATGAAAATGATTCATGAGTGAGGTACCTTGGTTTTTAACTTTTAGCAACATTAAAAGAAATATAAAGAAAAAAACTTAATTAGTGATCCCCCATAAATCTGCGGTGAAATTGCCAAAAAATAGCATTAGAAATATATATGATTGTGAAGAACTACAAATGAAAAACCTAGAAAGATTGTCTTTTCTATTATTAAAAAATAGCTCATTTTCTTTTCTTTTGGGTAATTAAAAAAAAAATCTCTTCTTAATTCTTATACTTCAAGACTAGCATTCTTTCATAGGAGAATTTCACTTTACAATATGATTATTTCGTTAATTTTTGTTGCTCATTCAATAAAAAATTATATCATAAACATTGATAGAATAAATAACAAAAGCTAAAAGAAATAAACTGAATATACCAAATGAGAAATCTAATATTTGAGGGCAAAAGAACAAAATTTCTTAAATCTTTTTGGATACAAACTGTCATTCTCCCTTCTTTAATTGTAAAGAGCTTATAAAGCCAAGGCTACAACAGTGACTTTGTTGTTGGACATATTGTGCGCCTCTCGTTCGATGTTTTAACCCCCTGCGCATACACAGAGAGAGAGAGAGAGAGAGACCGATGGGATCGTTTCTGTCGAGTTTGCTCGGTGGAGGCTTAGCTTCGGCCACTGAGGGCTCCTCATCGTCGGAGTCATCCCGCGTCATCCCATTCCACTCATCCAACCGATGGCAGATCCACTTTAACGACTCCAAGCAATCCAATAAACTGGTTACATCTCTCTCTCTCTCTCTCTCTCTCTGATAGATTTTGTTGTTTGTAGCTATTCTAGGGTTTTCGAGCTTTACCAAATTGCGGATCTAATTGTTGTAATAGTACTTGATTTTTTTTCGCTGCTGTTGTTGAGGAGTAAAGATGGTGGTGGATTTTACGGCATCGTGGTGCGGGCCTTGCAAGTTCATGGAGCCGGCCGTCAACGCCATGGCTGAAAAGTTCGCCGACGTTGACTTCGCTAAGATCGACGTGGATGAGTTATCGGTATGTATCAATTTCCCCAAATTTTCTAGTTCTCTACTTAACGAATTATTCTCGGATGGCGTTTGACTAATTGAGACGTACTTGTGGCGATGAGGGGGAATGATAGGGTGTGGCGCAGGAGTTTGGGGTGCAGGCTATGCCGACATTCGTGCTGCTAAAACAAGGCAAGGAAGTGGAGAGGGTTGTTGGGTCCAAGAAGGATGAGTTGGAGAAGAAGATCATGAAACACAGGGAAGTACCAAAATTCGCTGCTTGATTGCAAAAACATTTCGCTACTATTTGTGCTTTTCAAGCAGTATAATATTATGATTAACATATATGTATCCTCTTGATCATCTGAAAGAAGAAGAAGAAGAAGAAGAAAACTGGGTATTTCTTTTTAATTCAAGACTGTTTTTCAGAACTTGATGGATTGATTCTTCTATTTGAGAATCATATTAATGTTCAATTTGCAGTACTTGGAATCAATTCTCTGTAATGGCATCACGTCTAAAATGGGATCAAAATATTCTGAATGTATTGTAAAGTAGCTGCGAACTGGAATAAATTCATTCATTGTTGCTATTAAAATCCATGGGGCTAAATATACTCTCCAATCCAAGTGTAAAATTAAACATATCCTTTGAATTAGAAAGGAAACAAGAATGAAAAGCATAGATGCTTAGAACTCTTTAAGTAAAAAGTAGCAAGTCTCTCTCTCTCTCTCTCATAGTAAGAGCATCTCTAGTCACAATCAACAAAATTGTTACTCAATATAAATATATATATAAGTATAAATTTATTAAATTTTCTATTTTAGTTAATTATTTAAATTAATTTTAACTAACTTTTAATAATATAATTCAAAAATATCACATATAGTAACACATAAGCGACGTAATGATGACGTGATTATGTCATGTCATCAAATTTTAAATTTTACGACAGTTATATTTATAACGGTCATATTTTTTAAAATGTATAAATAAGTCATCTCCCTTCTCATTGTCATATATCTCAAATTTATTTTATTGGTATTGAACTCATATTTCTTTGTTGTGGCTTGTGATGGTAAATTGAAGATGGTTCTTAATGATTCTGACTCTAATGATGAGTTAGAGATATTAGCAGTTGCTGCTACGACAATGAAAAACTTAATACGAAGAACAGCTTCGCAATACGTCGTAATTCTATTTAAGACCATTCTGTTATTTTTCGCAATCGAGTTGAAGGGCATAAGAAACTTTATAGCAATTATTTTATTAAATCGCTGATGGGACATTTTTAAAATACTCCAAGATGAAGACACGTGTCCTCAGTGTCACTAATCCTTGTTGCCGAGATCACGTACCCATCGGTTCACAAGTTCCCTTCTCCCCCGAGGTACTTATCATAGGGATCAAGTGGCATCCAGTACGTTTTTATGTACCGACACGTACCCCTCGGTCTGATATGGTACATCGGTCGCTAGGCCTCCCCCTCTCGGCTCCGAGATGTACCTCTTCCTCGGTCCGAGATGTACCCCCTCGTCCAGGATGTCGTTCTCTGCTCCAGCAGAGGCTATTGATGTACAGGTCACTAGCCTAGGCTAGGCTAAGTTAGCTATCATGACCTCGTCTTACGCAATTGGTGTCAGAAGGCACAGAGGGCAGGGGACACAGCCAATGGGGAATGGACGGGTGGTATATTGTGTCACATCAGAGACAGAAAGACCGGATGCCCTTGCTGACATACGACTTGGGAAAGCAAGCATTTAATTATACAATTCCTTTGATGAGACAACATTTAATGCGGTAAGGCTCGGAAGTGAAAGGTAATAAATGTCTCTAAGGCTGGACATTTATTACATCCTTGCCGAGAGGAGTTCATTGAACCGTCGGCAGGCCGATGACACAGTCTTGATTGCTCGGGGTCCCGAGCAGTTAAAAGAGAAGACATTCCTCGTAGGAATCAGTGCGCACGTTGCCTGTATCTAATGATCACCTACTGACCACACTGACAGCAATCATGAGTATTTGAGGTATAAATACTCCTCACAAAAGGCAAGACAAACAAGGTGAAACCTTTGCTACAAATTATACTCAGTGTTTTCTTCTTCCTCTCTCTCAAAAACTGACTTGATCGTCAGAGGGGATACGCCGGAAAACACTCCGGCGCCCTTCTAACTTGTTCTTCTTTGTTCTATGAACCTTTCTTCAGCCTTACTGGATCGTTCCGTTGATCCACGAGGGTCTCTCATTACCGTTCCAGGTTACCACCGGACCTCACAGGCTGTTCCAAGCAGCGGGGTTGACCGCTCGACTGACTCACTCGAGTTCACCAAGGGAGAGATCTGTTCTCGTATTTATATTGTGCAAGATCCAACACGCACAATCTGGCGCCGTCTGTGGGAAACGACTAGTGTTCCTAGTTTTTTTTTTTATAAAGAACAGTGACCATAGTGAACACTCGACAAAAAGGGAAAGGTCCCCACCAAAGAAGTCTCGAATTACAAGCTCCCTGTCACCATGGAGGGAGGGATCACACTGATGGGAATAAAAATGCCTCTACTCAGTCAAGAGGGTTACCCCTCAAACCAGTATGGGAATCAGGTCAGGAGGATCAGCCCCCTTGGCTCGTCAGCTGGCGGAGGTGATCGAAGAAAAGTTTGGCGATAGATTACGACAGCTGGAAAAGGACAATGTAAACGTCCTAAGCCAGCTCAACGAATTTGCCGCCTCTGGCGAAAGGTCGAGGGACTCATTCCTTTCTCGTGGGCTCCCCGCCCGGGAGGCGAAAACGAAGGATCTAAGGAATCATCTAAACAACAAGGCAGAAAGCTCCAGGGCCCCAAAGCGACCAAGAGCCAACGAGCACCCTCCTAACGACCATTCAAGGAAGGCAAGACCATTAGCCCTGGACGACCTCCGGCGAGGATTGTCTAGACGGAGGAAGGGAGATGAGTCCGAGGAGGATTCTACCCTATCCACACGGCGCCCAGGAAATGGGGGGCCTATTGATGAACTCAAGGACTTCAGAAGACATCCCGTCAGGGAGAAAATTGATCTCAGAGCCCGGTTGGAATCCAGGAGAAAGAGTAAGGCTGTCCAGGATGAGGTAACGAGGTCATACAAACACCCTTTACCAGGGAGATCGGAGAGATGGAGGTTTCAAGAAAGTTTGTCGTGCCGAGGTTCAAAACTTATGACGGGCGGTCCGATCCCGAAGCCCATCTCAGGCAATACAAACAGATGATGTCCCTCTATTATTCAGACCAACGGTTCCTCTGCCGAGTATTTCCTATGAGCTTGGAGGACTCTGCGATGAAGTGGTTCGAGGCGCTTCCCCCAACAGCATTGGATCGTGGAAGGAATTGACGAGGCAGTTCTGGCTCGATTCATTACGGGGAGTAAGCGGCCTAAAGACGTTGGATCATTGCTAACGCTCAGACGTAGGGAATCCGAGACCCTTCGCCAGTATGCCATCCGGTACTGGGAAGAGGTCAATGAGGTAGAAGGCTGCTCGAAAGTCATGGCAGCGGCGTCTTTCAGGCTCGGCTTGGCAAGAGACACGGACCTGTACCGATCCCTGACTAAGAAGACTCCCTCGGATATGGGCGAGCTGATGGCCCGGATAAACAAATACTCAAGGATCGAGGACGAGATGGGAAGCAGCAAAGGCCGAACCCTCCAATCTAAGAAAAAAGAGAGGGAGCGGGAGGATACTCCCGAAAGGGACTGCTACCCCCTCCAGGGGGGTCGTCCAAAGGAGTTCACACTATGTTCAAGGAACCCATCTTCAAGTTGCTCCATAAGATCAAGCATGAGCCGTTCTTCAAGTGGCCGCCCAGGATGCAGAGCGATCCCTCCACCCGTGATCAAAAGGTTAGGTGTTCCTATCACCGGAATTTCGGACATCGCACTGAAAGCTGCAGGGTATACAAATCGTTCTTGGAAAGATTGGTCCGAGACGGATACTTGAAAGAATACATAGAGCCCAGGCCAGAAGAGAGACATACCCTTGCCCCGACCGAGGAGCCGGACAACATCATAGATGTCATCCATATATGTCCCCTAGATCGTCCCACGTCCAAGGAACTCGAGTCCGATCTCAAGAGGGTAGCTTTTACAAGGAAGATAACCGAGGATGATGGGGGCCACCCAGTAAAAGGGCCAGGACTGGTGAGCCCAGCATCACGTTCTCCGACGCGGAGTTGAAGGGTGTGGTGACTCCTCATAACGACGCCCTTGTCTTAACCCTGAAGATAGGTAAATTTGACGTCAAAAGGGTGTTGATAGACTCCGGAAGTTTCTCGGAAGTGATGTACTCTGAGACTTTAAAACGGATGGATCTTGGCCTCAAGGACCTCACCAAGGTCAGGACACCCCTCATCGGATTCAACGGCTCGTTCGCCCTGCCCGTAGGCAAAATCACATTGCCCGTTGTCACGGGTCCCTTCATCATCAACACCGAGTTTGTCGTGATTGATACGGACTCTCCCTACAACGTGATCATGGGACGAACATGACTGCATGCGTTGGGAGCGGTGCACTCCACTTATCACCAGAAACTAAAATTTGTCACGCCAGAAGGTATCATGGAGATCCGGGGGACCAAGCGTCCGCAAAAAATTATTTTTATTCAGCTGTTAGAACCGGAGCGTTCACCCAAGAAAAGGGGCGAGCACCGGAAGAGATTATGAAAAAATAGCAATCACAGTCCGGACGTCCAGGAATAGATGACCCCCGGATAGACCCAACTGAGTGGTCGGTGGAGGACCTCCGGAAGGTGCCCTCGGTGGAGGGAGAAGAAGAAAGATACTTCTTAGTTGGAACCGCGATGCCCGCAGCCGAACAGGAGGAGATGATTGAGTTCCTAAGGAGAAATACAGACGTGTTCGCTTGGAACGCAATGGAAATGACGGGAGTAGACCCCGAGATAATCACGCACAAGTTGCATGTTGACCCGGCGCACAAGCCAGTCAAACAGAAGCCACGACGCATGGCCCCGCATCACGCCTGCGTGGTCAACGAAGAAGTCGACAAACTCCTGAAGGCCAACGCCATTCGAGAGATACAGTTCCCAGAATGGTTGTCTAACACGGTTTGCGCGAAGAAGAAGGGGGAAAATGGCGTGTCTGCGTAGACTTCACAGATCTAAACAAGGCATGTCCCAAGGACGACTACCCCTACCAAAGGTGGACCAGCTAGTGGATGCCACTGCCGGATATGAACGCATGGACTTCCTGGATGCCCGAGCAAGATATCACCAGATCCCTCTCCATCCCCCAGATCAGAA